AACTTAGGTCTTTATTTCGAACCAAATATTAGTTTTGGACAAGGAGGGTCTTTCATGCAAACTTTCCACTACACAAGGGGATTTCACGCAATAAATAAATCACAGGATGTTTTTGTACAATTTTAGTAAAACACAAGGATGTGTTATATAATTTACCTAAAAAATTAATACTTTACCCATCACATAACAAATGATACTATTTCTTTAGGATGTCCCATAACAAATAATATTTTTCTATATTTGATAAATTTTACTTATTTAATACATATAAATATAAATTAATAACTTTATAATACTGTACAACTCAATGTTTAAATAATATGCCTATATTTTACCGCGGACGAGATCGCGGACAAGGCAGTGGACGTGAATTTAGTCGTGGACGTGGAGCCGACCGTGGACGAGGTCGTGGTAGGTTTGTTTCGCATTACTACCGTCAGGAATATTTTGATGAGTAGGAATCAAATAGGCCTATGAAGCGGCTTTAGAATGATGTTGGTCAGAGTTCAAAGAAAAATGAGGATAAGTGTTATCGCTGCGGAATGACAGAACATTGGTTCAGAAATTGTCGTTCCAATTCTTATTTTGTTGAGTTGTACCAGAATTCTCTTAAACAAAAAGACAAAGTATCTGGAGAAGTTAAAGCACCGGAAAATGTCAATCCCCCATAAATTAATTTCTCAGAGAACGTTGCTAGTGGCAGTGAGGTTGATAAATGTAATGATAATACGCACTTAGATGTATCTGATTTTCTAGTACACCCTGAAGGTGGATACTATAAAAATCCCGGAAATGCGATATAAATGCATATAGATATGTGTATATATTTTTGTAACACATATAGTTTTTGCTCCCTATATTTTGTAATGATATGACAGCTATGTATTTTCTCCAAATTTTTGATATATTTATTTTTATATTTCTCTCAGAAGAAGAAATATGAATGTTGAGCACGTTATAATGAATAATATGGAAGACAATTCATGTCTCATTGATAATGCATCAACGCACACCATTTTGAAATATAAGAAATATTTCACCAATCTGAAGTTGGAAAAAATTGAGGTGAATACCATAAGTCGTTGTGCGAAGTTAATTGAGGGCTCTGGAAGAGCGATAATATTTCTCCCCGAATGAGTAAAACTTGATATCCAAAATGCACTATATTCTAGTAAATCTCAAATAAATTTGTTGAATTTTAATGATATTCGTAGAAATTGATATCATATTGAGACATCAAGTGAGACAAATAATGAATTTTTATTAATTACAAAATTCATTGATGGACATAAATATATATTAGAAAAATTGCCTTTATTATCTTCCGGATTATATTGCACAAAGATTAATTTGGTTGAAACATATCTGGTAGACCAGAAGTCTACAGATTTTATGATTTGGCATGACCGGTTTGGGCATCCCGGTATTACTGTGATGAGACGAATTATTGAAAATACCAATGGCTTTAACTTGAAATATCAAAGGATATTAAATACAAATGAGTTTATATGTATTGCTTGCTCAAAATGGAAGTTAATAACTAGACCATCACCAGAAAAAATGAGAATTGAATCCCCTTCATTTTTAGAACGAATTCAGGGTGATATATGTGGGTCTATAGATCCACCATGCGGACCATTTCGATATTTTATGGTACTTATTGATGCATCTACTAGATGGTCGCATGTGTATTTATTATCTACCCGCAATTTGGTATTTGCGAGGTTGCTTGCTCAAATAATTAGATTACGAGCTCAGTTTCCAAATCACCCAATAAAGAAAATTCGTCTTGATAATGCTGGTGAATTTTCATTTAAGATATTTGATGATTATTGCATGTTTATTGGAATTGACATTGAACATTCTGTACCTCATGTACATATTCAAAATGGTCTAGCTGAATCACTTATAAAAGGCTGCAATTAATTGCAAAACCTATGTTGATGAAATCCAAACTTCCTGTCTTTGCTTGGGGATATGCAATTATGCATGCAACAACATTGATAAGATTAAGACCGACAAGCTATCATAGCTACTCCCCAATACAATTAGTGTACAATGAAAAGCCCAATATTTCACATTTGAGAAGTTTTGGGTGCACAATTTATGCGCCAATTGCACCGCCTCAACGTACAAAAATGGGCCCCCAACGGAGATTGGGGATATATGTCGGGTATGAATCACCATCTATCATTAAATATCTTGAACCATCAACTGGTGATTCGTTTACGGCTTGCTTTGTTGATTGTCATTTTGACGAGTCGCATTTCTCGACATTAGGGGGAGAAACTGATCAACTGAAAAAGAAAATTACTTGGAAAATACCATTCAGTTTTCTTGATCCTCGTACAAGTCAAAGTGAATTAGAGATACAAAGAATTTTACATTTACAGCGAATAGCAAATCAGTTGCCTGATGCTTTTTGTGACGCCAGCAGAGTCACTAGATCTTATATAGCCGCTGAAAATGTACCTGCTAGAATTGCTATTCCTTGAGACAAAATATAAAGTGCTAATGAATCAAATGCACGGCTAAAGCGTGGCAGACCTGTAGGTTCCAAAGATAAAAATCCTGAAAAGAAAAGAGGAACAAATGAAAGGGTTGATGATTTGAATGTTAATCAAAACCCTCAAGAAACAGGTAGTAACATGGATCAGATTTTTAAAGAAATTGATTTTGGTAAACTTGATGAATATGTTAATCATAATAGAATTTATCCTGAAGAGAATGAAATTATTGAAAATTTAATAAATTATGTTACTATTGGAAAGCATTGGAACCGAAATGATACAATTATGGATAATGCTTTTGCATATAACGTAGCACTTGATCTAATGGAAAATGACGAGGATCCAGAACCTAGATCAGTTGATGAATGTCGGAAAATAATAGATTGGCCAAAATGGAAAGATGCGATCTAGTCTGAATTAAATTCACTGGCAAAACGAAAAGTTTTTGGATCCATTGTTCAAACACCTGAAGGTGTTAAGCCTGTTGGCTATAAATGAGTATTTGTTCGAAAACGAAATGAGAATAATGAAATTGTCTGATATAAAGCAAGACTTGTTGCCCAAAGTTTTTCACAAAGACCTGGAGTTGATTTTAATGAAACATATTCTCCAGTAATTGATGGAATAACATTTCGATATATTGTCAGTTTGGCAGTACATGAAAATTTAGATATGCGTCTGATGGACGTTGTAACTGCATATTTATATGGCTCATTGGATAGTGATATTTACATGAAAATCCCTGAAGAATTTAGTATACCTGATGCATATAAATCAAAGCCAAAAGAATTTTATTCTATTAAATTACAAAAGTCTTTGTATGGGCTAAACAATCTGGTCACATGTGGTATAATCGTTTCAGTGAATCATTATTGAAAGAGGGATATACCAATGATTCTATTTGTCCATGTATTTTTATAAAGAAAAATTGGAGAAGTTTTTGTAATAATAGCTGTCTATGTGGATGACTTGAATTTAATTGGAACCCCTGAAGAGGTCCAAGAAGCTATTGAATATTTGTAAAGGGAGTTTGAAATTAAAGATTTCGGGAGAACGAAATTTTGTCTTGGTCTACAAATTGAACATTTGGAAAATGGGATTTTGATACATCAATCTGCATTTACAAATAAGGTATTGAAACAATTTGCAATGGATAAAGCACATTCATAGAGTACTCCAATGGTCGTTAGAACTCTCGATCATATTAAAGATCATTTTAGACCAAAAGAGGTGAATAAGGAAGCACTTGGTCCTGAAGTACTATATTTAAGTGCTATTGGTGCACTAATGTATCTGGCTAACAGTACTAGACCAGATATAGCGTTTGCTGTAAATTTATTGGCTGGATTTAGTGCAATGTCAACACAACCATTTGAAAGGAATCAAACATATTTTTCGTTATCTCCAAGGATCTATTGATCTTGGTCTATTATATCCAAAAGGATCTCGACATAAATTGATTGGATATGCGGATGCTAGGTATCTTTCTGACCCGCATAAAGCCAAGTCTCAGACTGGCTATATATTTACTTATGGCGGTACAGTGGTATCTTGGAGATCTACTAAACAAACATTAACCGCTACATTTTCAAATCATGCAGAAATAATAGCAATTCATGAAGCCAGTATATAGTGCGTTTGGCTAAGATCAATGATTCACCACATTTTACAGAATTGTGGTTAGAAAGAAGGATATATCAAGGGAGATAGAACGAAACATATTTCACCGAAATTTTTCTTTACTCATAATCTCCAGAAAAATGGTGAAATAAATGTGCAGTAGATTCGGTCAGACCAAAATTTAGCAGATTTGTTGACCAAGGCTTTACCGACCGCAATGTTCGAGAAATTAGTAAAGATCATCGGGATGCGTATGTTGCAAAATTTCAAATGATGGCCAGATCAGGAGGAGCGATATTTCAAGTGATGTTCACATTAGAGGAAGTATTTTTAATGCATGAATGACGTACTCTTTTTCCTTGATTAGGATTTTTGTCCCGTTGGGTTTTTTTTCTAATAAGGTTTTAATGAGGCGTATTCATTGCAATTAATGACACCTAAGAGAGAGTGTTATGAGTCATTATTTATTTATAGTAGGTGTCATCGTATTATCTTAACACATGTCTATATTTGATGTCTAATTCTATTGAAAATGATTTATAAATAAACCTTCTATCTAATGAAAATGAAATACTTTTGCATTTCTTCGTATCCTCCTCTCTCTCTATCATTTCTCTACTCTCTCTCTAGAATATATATACATATATACTTTATTACATATCTATACATAAATTACAATATCTATAATAGTATTTTCATATTTTGTTATATATTTTATAACAATAACTATAATATTTAATTTTTTAGGCAGGTGAGCAACACGTGATCTTAACGGCTAGTTTTTTTCAATTCCCAAAAATCTGAGTACTTTTTCGATTCCACTTCCCTCGCACTTCTCTTCTTTTGCTGCTGCTGCATTTCGGGTTATATTTGGTCTATTCTCACTCAATTATTGGTACCTTCCTTCAGTCGAATCTATTATTGTGCCGGCGACAATGTTTGTATCGGAGTCGGGGTCGCCGTACGAGGCGTTGTTCAGGGCGGCGCTGTCGATACCGCTTTCTCACTATCTAGTGGGATTGTCTTTGATTTTGGCCGTGTTTTTGTATAACTTCTTCGAGATGCATTTCCTTGAAGATTTTCTCACTGGATTTAGGGGACAGCCGGTGATTTTGACTTTCAATCCAGCGTCTCAACTCTACCATGATGTTGTTTCACAGTGCAGGATTTTCCACCGCAGGTACACAACACTTACTGCGAATTGGAAGTGCTCTGTAATTATTTTTTTTTCCTTTTTTTTTTTGCTTTGGTTACGAACTTTGTTGGTTCCTTGAATTCTTTGAGACAATTGTGTTTCGTGTTTGTTTTGTTTTGATTTGTTGATGAATAGGTATTTGTCCACTCCATGGTTGTGCAGTCCGCATCTTCAGACTATATTTGTGCAGTTCTTTGGTAATCCTCCCGTTGTCAATTACAGAAGGTGATTTGGATCATCTAAGAATTTTGCTTCTTTCAGATATTCTCACGTTTGAGGACTGAGCGGAAATTGCAGCGTTAGGCTGTTCATTTAATGATTAACCTTTGGTGCCGTGAATCAGTAGCAATGTACTGTTTGTTGTGTGCAGGCAGATTTTTCAGACCTCCGATGGTGGAACTATAGCTTTAGATTGGGTCAAGAGTGATGAAGGTAACAATATTTGCTTATTTCTTTCTCCTTTGAACCTCGACTTGTGTACAAATTATCTGGAAGAAAAGAATGTTTGCTGGTAATGCTAATATACTAGAGGATGATTTTCTTAGAATATGTTATTGACACTCTTAAATATATATATATTTCTATCTATATACATATATATATATATATATAAATTGCAATTGCTAGAGCTTATGATAAAACTCATGTTTCCTTACTACAATATTTTGGGTTTGAGCTTTTGCTTGATATCATTCACCTTTGTGGCTTATTGACACGGTGGTCATGAGATAGCAAGTCACAATACCAGACTACAATTGTCTATTGGTTCAATCAGTCTCAAGGGATAAAAGGAGAAAAGAAAGTATGGACACAATTGAACTTGGATAGCTCAATGGATGGAAAACTCCATGTAGACGAGCAAATGTTGCTATTTTGTGCGATGACTTTGTGATGGAGAAAACACAATGGACCTTAGCATAACTTAACAAGAATAGGGGATACTTCTCTAGCTTAGCCAAAATAACTAAAAGCCTAATGTTCTTAAATAGGTTGCCCGAGACCTAATCTAACTTGGCCAGTAAAAAAGCTAAGTTAATACACCAACAATCTTAGTCACAAACAATGAAAAACACTAGTAAGAGTCTTAACTATCTTAAGTTCACTCTCGATTTTGGCATATATTATGTGAGGTATCCTCCAATACTGGAAGGCAATTGTAATGTCAATTGGATATCCGTGATAAAAGATTAGTCTTCTACGAGCGACTATGTATTATGTAAGAAGGAATTACTTTGCGAAATTCACAAAATAAATGTGTATTGCATGGTACACAATGAAATCGGAATTCATGGCTTTAGATAAAGTCAGTGAAGAAGTAAATGCAACTTTAGAAATTTCTTAAATGGCATTTCATTTTTGGAGTAAATCAGTTCTTCCAGTGATGATTTACTGTGACACCCGAACCGCGATAGCTAAGGCTAAGAATGAAATATAGAACGGTATATGTTGATGTATCCGACGAAGACACAACACCGTAAGATATTTGATCACGAGTGGGGTTTTGACTATTGGCTATACAAAGTCAATAGAAAACCTAGTAGATCTGCTAACCAAAGGGTTACCGTTGATTCGCACAATTGGTCCTCGCGCTTAGTTGAAAAGCCAGTGGCGTAAAGCTACTGTGCGCTGGATTATGAATGTACATAGAGTTATCAAATGTATAAATTGCTGAGAATAATGGTCTGAATAACACTCAAATACCATTCTTCATATAGCAACGGGTGTGAATTTGTGCAAATGTGGTGAGGTTGAATCAATAACTCTTAATAATCCTAAATATATGACTTTAATAGTTTAAGATAGGACTACTATGTAAGTGTAAAGTGTGGACCGCTTCAGAAGATACATTTATGAATCCAAAGACGTGAGCATAGCTAAAATATTTTAGAACGTGAGAATAAAATAAGGTTGAGATAGTAACACATCAATATTATTGACTCAGTGTATGTTGAGGTAATAGTTCAATGCATATGTGTAGGCCACTATTTTTTCAAAATATTGACTATGGAAGGTTTAAAGTCGTAAGCTACTTTTTTTGATGTGTCGATATATCTCTGGAACTAAAGTGTGCTCCTGTCCTTATCATGGCCATTTTTATTCATGTGGAGGAGTGTTGAATAAATCGATTTAAATAATCAATAAAATTTAATTTAGAATTTCTCGAAATTGATTTTTGGTGAGTAGAAATGTATTGAACCAAATATGTGAATTAGTTGAAAAAAATTCAATTATATGGACTGAAATTTAATTAAAGTCATGGGCTAAATTGTAGTTACAGGTTTTGGATCGATTAGCTAAGTAATTAACTAATTAAATTGTAGGGGGTTTGTCAATTTGCTTAATACAACAATAGTGATGTATTTATATTTTGAATTGTGTAATAAGATGATAAAAAAGTGGTTGAGGCATGTGAGTGTCGGAGAGCCATATGTGCGCGCCACTCGGACTAGACACGAACACAGACACTTACATGGGCACGAGCTCGGGTCTTGGGTGTTGAGTCTTGGGGCTTAGGGCTTGAGGTTTGGTGACATGAACGGTTTTATATATTCAAATACATAGAATTTTGGTCGAAAATTAAGATGTAATGGATTATTGTGAGCGATCAAATATAAGAAAAAGTTTGTAGTTGTAGACCCTAAATCGTTTATCATAAATGTTTATACCTTTTAACTGGTGAGTTTTCAGGTCTAACACAGGGATTTTAAATCGCGAAGTCAAATCAAGTATTAATCTAGTGAAAACGGCGGTAAAGCAGTAAAGAGACTCGCTCGAAAGCGAGCCCGAATCTAAAACTAAGAAAGCTGAAGAAAAATTAAAAAAAGCAGTAAGGGCGAACGGTGGTGACCGGAGCGATGGTGAGCGGGACCGGTGCCAGCGATGGGTGAGCGAGATGGACATGAGCGGAAAGGCACAATATATTTATATAGATTGAGCGGAGGAGGGCGGTGGAGAGGTGTTGTGTCTGAATTGTGCGTTTCTTAATGGCTAGATTATCCTGGATGAAATGAGCGAATGATGCTGGTTTTTAATCGAAACATATATGTATAATGCGAAAATGGCAGGAGGGAGAAGGTAATCATATAAACCAAATCATAAGGAACTTTGATCGCTAATACTTGACCTTAAGAGATTTACAACAAGACTTCAATGACACCCAAAATCAGAATATTATAAGAAAGAAACCCTACTGTCACTAAGAATTTCTGTGACCAATAGACCACCGTTTATGCCTATTAATTATTCCAATTTCTGTCTCATTAGTGGCTTTGCCCTTCTGTTATCTCTTTTTAATCAAAATCGAATTTATATAAGTAATTAAGCAGGTCGACAAGGCTCCCGCGTACTTAACTACATTGAACTACCCTGAATATGTTTGTGACAAAGAAACAAGGCTTGGATAATAGATTTTTCTGCGTTCTTTCTCAGCGATTTAGAGTTCTTTACAACTAAAGTTTATACAAATGTGAAAATAGGGAAGACGCGAGGATGAAAAACAAGTGATATTTCATTACTTATTACCAAAACAATAAAGTTTTATTTCTACAAAAGCTGTAAATCAAAACGGTAAACTAGAACTAGGAAAGCAGTAAAGTGGTGGCCAAGGGAGAAAAAAAATCTCAACTCCCCTGGCCATTCATGCTCAGAACTCCCTTATAAGGTTGAAGCTCTCGGAAGGCAGGAAGGCAGTTAAGAATGTGCGTAAATAGTGCTTGTATACTCCTTTCGAAGTATATTTTACAAATAGATATCTAACCCTATTTATAGCTAATGGAAGTAGCAGTTGCGAGCAGTTGAGAAATGGTCCCGACCGTTGAGCAGTTAGGCAGTTGAAGGCAGTTATTCTGTTGAAGCAGTTGCTGGGCATAACTCCCAGGGTGCTTGCTTCGACTTGTAAGGGCGCAGATCTTCCTCGCTCACCCAGATGGTTGGAGGGCATCAGCGCAGCTGAGCGGAGATCTATGCTGGTTGGTAGTGGAATGGCTGATCCGCTGCGGGTTGGACACTTAGGCATTAATTTCAGTGAGTTGTCGTCACTCCGCTGCGGTGGGTGTCTAGGTCGCTAGCCTAAGCAATGAGGTTGTCACTTGCGAGCGAAAACGGCTATCGCTTGCTTCTCATGCTTTAGCTTTACTGGACCAGAATCACCGCTAAAAAGGGCAAAAATTGTTAATAATCTCAACAAACCAATTCTGGATCATGCCAAGCGGAATAGATCAATAAATTATGTCATAAATCAGATATTGTGATAGTTTTTATACAAAAATTCAAGTAATACGTAGTTTTTTTAAGCGGAGAATATGTTCATATTTGGAGTAATCACTTGGTAAATGCTTGACTTGACGATATCAAGTTTTGCTCCGAATCCCAAATATTAAACTTATATATTTTTATTAGTCTCGAGATAAGCCTATATTTGAAGCCAAAAAATAAACTCGGGAACGTGACCCAATTTGCGAGGATAATATATGTACCTTATCCGGTGGCGAGTTTATCTGTTGCAATCAAGAATAAAATCAACGCCGGTCGTTACATTGTAAATCATGGACGACGTTACGGGCATGGATTTCACCGGTTGCCTTCCCCCTAAGTGTCTTTAGTCTATAAAAAAGGCTCTCCCCCATCACTCTAGACATATCAATAATCTCATCATCTCCTCTCCTCTCCCCTCTTTAGCTTTTCCGGTCTCCAATAGAATGCTGGCCAACTTCTGTAGCCTTCCCGGGCAAGATTAGTTCTGCTTTTATTTTTGTTTGCCTAAGCTCTGACGAATTGAGGCACTATTCTCATTGGAGATGGAACCATTTTATCTTTGGGAGTAAATCGCTACCGACATGAGGCACTATTGAAGAAATATTACATTGTAGAGAGAGTATCCTACTCAACTTGGCTAATTGACCGTTAATGTGTTTTAATTTCATACTAGTGGCAAAATCAATGAAACTTTGTTCAATGTCATTAACAATTGCATTGCTTACTTTGCATGAAAATGTTAAGAGCATTGGATGGCTGGTTATGCCTTTCGGCCTCACCAATGCTCTTAGAACTTTCATGCAATTCACGCAAAATCAATAAAACTTTGTTCAATGTCATTAACAATGGCAATTATACTAACATGGTAAGTGAATATATAGCGGCTAAACTCGGGCTGAAGATGCAGGACCATCCTCAACCATATTGCTTACATTGCATGAAAGGGTTAAGAGCATCGGATGGCTTGTTATCCCTTTCAGCCTCATCAATGCTCTTAGAACTTTCATGCAATTCATGAAACATGAACTTAGGAAATTGATTGGAAATTTTGTTGTGGCATATTTTGATGATATCTTGATTTATAGTACTAATTTTAATATGTTGAATATGTTATATTTTGTGGTATAAAAAAGCTTTTTGCAGGGTTCAGGGTAAGTTGGCTCCTCAAATGCAGACTTACCACACTTTTTTTTAGCAATAATAAATAATTAAGTCTGACATGCGGCAGATTGCTTGTGTTTGGATGACTAAATTTGCCTGACAATTGAAGATTTTGTAATTGTCATCCTTTTTCTTATATTTTAACTAATGCAGATCAATTCCCCATGTTTTAGTTAAGAAACCACCCTCTCAACTGAATGATGAATTCATTCAAGATGACAAGAATCCCATCCTGATAATCATTCCTGGATTAACAAGCGATTCTCATTCCAGTGTAAGTTATCTGGATGCTGTGACCATCGTTTAATTGTGATTTGTGATTTTTTATTTTTTTTGTGCTTTTTGCTTTAATGTTTTAAATGGAAATTGGTATTAGATGTGATGTTGTTGGAAACAATTTAGTAGATTGAACAATAAAAAATGGATATAAAAGACAAAAGTAATATACATAGTATTTGAAGAGGAAATTTGTATTATATATTGGCAGGGGGCAACTCAAGAAAAAAGAAATTAGAATTTAGCTTCACCTTTTCCTCGTGTAGTTCTTGGCAACTAAAAACGCATTCAATCCTAGTCAGTTCCACCCTTTCCCCTTATAGCTTTATTGTCAAAATAATAATTTGAGATCTACTAGAAGCATAAAATTTGATGTTAATCACCTCATCGTGGCTAAATTGTCTGGACTGAGTTTTTACATCATCAAAAGTCCTATTACAAGGGATAGACTAAGATATACTATTATACATAGAAAAACACATCTTCAAGTTGACTGTTATTGCAGGCACTTTGTTCCTCACCATTATTAGAATTTTATTCGGATGATTATTTGTGCATAGAATGCTTGCACTAAGTTTTCATTGCAATCACAAGGTGATGAATTCTTTAACAATGTAAAGTGTGCGCCAAATGGAAACTCATTTGTATTACTTGCAAAAATATTACACTGGTAGTGAATGCTTGAACAAGTTGGGAAACTAAGCGCATGAGCACATTCCTGGCAGTTAAAATTCTCGTATACTTTCATCCTTTTTCCTAAAAAAGTTTTTGATTTGAAAGAGCATGCTTTCTTTAAGCCTTGTTGCGGTCCAAGCAACCGGCCTGTAAGGTAAGCCTAGTGTATGCAGCCCTCCACATCCATGGAGCTAGTATAGAACTTGGCAATTATCTACATGTATTTATTTTCCACTTCAAATAACACACATATAACTCTACTTTCTTGTGAAATATCAGACCATAATAGTATCTATCAATGACTAATTTGGTTAAAATTTGTGAGTGTGTGCGCAATGCAGCCAATGCTCACATAAGTAGAAAGCAATAAAATATGAACATAAAATCAATCAACACGGAATATTTCGATTTTTTTGGTGTCTTTTATGATTGAGATATATGAAACTTTGAATTGGTTGTTTATGTTGTTTCTTCTTCAGCGTTTTACATGCTTCAATTTAGGTGAGGTAGCCAACAGGCTGTGTTGTTTAGTTATTGTCTCATTTGCAAAAGGAAATGAACATGATGGAAACTTTTGAGTCCATTTTGTAAAGCAAGCACAATGTTGATATCGGTTCACTTTGCATTTTTTATGTGAATGTATTTTATTATGTTAAAGTATAAAGAATTGTGTAGGTAGATAATATAAAAAAAAAAAAAAATTGTATTGAATTGATGACTTTTTGTAAATAAATAGTATACATTAAATATATTGTATATATGTTTTAAATATAATATTCAGCGGGAATCGAGTCAATAGAAAAATGTTGGGTGAACACTTGTTTGCATTTTTTGTTATATATCCCTCTTTTCTCTGATCTGTTCAATGCAATTAACCAATCGCCCACAGTATATCAAACATCTAGCTCATAAAATGGATAAACATGGTTGGAATGTTCTTGTCATCAATCATCGAGGCCTGGGAGGTGTATCAATCACGGTGAGTATGAGTCTCCTGAATGTTGTATTTGAGATTTATCTCTTTTTTAGGGATAGCGGTTAACAGCTATTTTGAATCTAATATTATGATCAATTGACATTTTCTTTTATAACGTGGGAACACACAGCTACATTTTGATTTTGAGTTAGGAAGTTTAATTTATTCTATTTAGATGAGTAACTAAGGTTGATGGAGTGAGGGTGGAATGGTAGAGAATCCTGACAAGAGGGGATGGATATATCGTGAGTTACAATGTTGATGTATCTAACTAGATTTAAATGAGTTCTAGCAAACCTATTGGGCAATTGAAATATGGAATTAAAACTTTCAATATTTATATGTTGTGTATGAGAAACAGTAATTCATGAGAACATTTTGTTTCTTCATATGTTTAACTTTATTGAGCATGAAAATAGCATGAAATTATATATATATATATATTTATACTTTTATGTACGTAACCTGTTGGTTTCTATATTTTTTTTTTTCTTTTTCTTTTTTATTTTGTATTGATCTGTGGATTATATTTTTAACAGTCTGACTGCTTCTTTAATGCTGGATGGACAGAGGATGTAAGGGAAGTGATTGAGTATCTTAACTGCCAATATTCATCAGCTTCTCTATTTGCTGTTGGTACTAGCATTGGAGCAAACATTTTGGTATAAACTCATTACCTATGTTGCTGTGGTTTGTTGTTTTATTTTTTCAAAGAAAAAAAAGAAAAATGGAGCCGTGTTATCTAGATTCCATTCACAATTAATTGAGTACAATATTTACAACTATTATAGACACATCTAAGGAAAGAAAGTAAAGAACTTAGTTTAAGTACAATGAATTAAATATTTAATTTTTAAAATTTATATGTATTTTATTTAATACTACATTATATTCCATTTAATACTAGAATATATTCTACTTGGTACTAGGATATAGAATATATTTTAGTTAATAGTACGATTACTTCTAACACTCCTCCTCAAGCTGGAGAGTAAATATCATGCATTCCCAGCTTTTATATGACTCTTGGGACTGCCTGACATTTAGTGCTTCAGTGAAGACACCAACTACTTGTATGGAAGGAGTAAATGGAGTGATGACTCATACCTCATGAACAAAGTGACAATCAACTTCTATATGTTTTGTTCGCTCATGAAAGACTAGAGTAATTGCAATGTGAATTGCAGCTTTATTTTCACAATGCATTGTAAAAGACTTATGTTAGTCATACCCTAGCTCCTAAGAATTTTTTAAACCACGTCAATTCACAGATAGTATAAGTCATTGCTCTATACTCTGCCTCAACACTAGATCAAGCTATCAGTGGTTGTTTCTTGTTTCTTCATATCACAAGGTTTCCTCCCAAATAAGTGTTGATTCCCTATCACTTTTATCTCAAGCATAGTCAGCATCAAAATAAGCTTCAATTCGCAAGTGTCCATTTTGCTTAAACAAAAAACCTTTGCCAAGAGCCTTCTTTATATACCTTAATATTCGAAGAGCAGCTTCCAATGAGCTTCGCGGGGTGTCTCCATAAATTGACTTACTACCCTGACAGGATAGAAAATATCAGGCCTAATGATGGTGAGGTTGATTAGCTTCCCAGCAAGTCTTTTATACTTCAACTTATCCGTTAGAAAATCACTACCTAAGTCATCCCATAGGTTTGAACCATTCGTGTCAATTGGTTTAGCACCAAGTAGCCTGGTATCAGTAAGCAAATCAAGGACTTTGATACCATGCCAAAGAGAATGAATTAAAAAATAGAGTCGTATTAACCAGTACTACTACATTTTCTAATGCCCACATCTCAGTTGGACAAACTGAAAAAAAAAAAAAAACAGTGAGAGAAGATTAAAAGACACTAAAATCGCAACATATATACTTATGGGGTTAATACTAGTAATGTAGTAGTAAGTACAATGCACTCAATAAAATATATAAACAGTGGCCAAAATATGTCAAAGGCACATATTTGGTATTGAGTGCCAGCATGCACTATTTTATTTTTCACTCCTCGGTTTAATGGTATGCACATCCTATTTGATTAAATTTTCAGGTCAAGTATCTGGCTGAGGATGGTATAAATACACCCGTAGCTGGGGCAACAGCACTCTGTTCTCCTTGGGATCTTATGGTCAGCGTTTTCAGATATGCCAGTGCACTTTTCCATTTCTGGATATCCATAATTGTTTCCAGGATAGGATTATGAAAACAAAGAATATGAACTCTAAAAAGCAGGAGTATATGATTGCTCAAGTGATTATTATCTCTTTTTATTTTTATTCTTTAATGACCATCTCTCATATGTATAACTAATAATATTATCAGGTTTGTGACTATGTTTTAGTTGTTATTTAGGCGAGACAGTAAACATTGTTTTCGTAAAAGATGACTTAATGTTGTAGACTTCAAGACTATTGTATATTAAAATTCAAATGGTGCATAAAGATGAAGTATATGCTTATTAGTGCCTAAGGGAAGTTCTAATGTAGCGAAAAGTTTTCTAGGTGTATGGTTAAATAATGTACCCACTATAAAAAGAGTAAAAGATTTCATCTGGAATAATTTTACTCTATGAGATTTCAATCTGACATGTAATTCAGGATCCATGTTTGTTTGGTAACAGAGCCGTTCACAATCCAGTGTTCAGTTGTCGTTCCTTTTTCCCATAGTTGAGGATTCGTTTTATTTACACAATTCTTTCTTCTATGCATTTCACAATACTTTTCCATATTCTGCCAACTTATAACTCTCACTTCGTTTAGAAGTTTAAGATTTTAAATTTTAAAGGTATGAAAGATTTATTATGAGCGGCTTTCTTCATTGGATCAGTAGATTTGTCATCCACTATCCTCTTTTCCACTACCAGCTTTGGGAGAGATATATGAACCGAAGATATGCACAAAGGATTTACGGAAAAGCTCTAGCCAACCGCTTGAAAAAATATGCTCATCTGTATGTCCTTACATCTCCTGCTTTTTGGTTTATTGAGTTTGAAGCTCATGTTTAGATTAAGCCGTGCACAATATCATTAACCTGGTTTTTTTATAGGCATGAGGCTACTCTTTTGCATCTCATAAACTGGGAAGAATTTAAAAAGGTATTTTTGTATTATTACAAATATTTTGAGATTTCAATATCTTTAATTTTGTTTATGCAAAAGAAGATTTTCCAAAATTTGACATGGGACATGAGTGTTCATATTCAACAAGAGGTTACACAAATATATATTTATATTTATGCTTGTGTATTGACTAAAGGATGGGCTTAGACCTGCTGTTCGCAGGTTTAGATTTCATTATTTGTTTTTTTATTAATATATTGTATTTTGAGTTAAATTTGCCCTTTAGTTATTAGGTGGACTTATTTTATCTTTGGTAAATAGGGTTTAGGTAATAGTATTTAAGGAGTAATTAGGGTTTAAGACTATTATTCTAGAATTTTGGAAATAAAGTAGCCGTTAGGTTTTGGGCAAATGGTTGATATAGTTTGATTTTTCTTATTCTTTATTTTGTTTGTATCAATTGGTCCGATCTGTCGGATCCCAATCCGGTCGTCGTGACAACAACACGATCAACAACAGAGCGATTGGACAAACTTGAGGCTAATCAAGCCAAAATGAAAGAGAACATGAAGACGATTAACATCTAACCGACAGAGATCATGACGACTCTTATTGAATTCTCGAAAATGATTTTGAAACCTTCTAGATCATAACAATCGTTGACAGGCCACTATGCGAAGGATAGTTCGACAGCCCGCCCCTGGCAGCCGCGCCACTACACCAACACTATCACCCCCGTGCGCTGTGGCACTGCAATCGGAGATTAACTCCAGATCGCAGACGGGCCCTGTGCAACTTTCATCCTTTAATGGTTTGGATTTGATAGGATGCTTGCCCGCACCACATCAATCAACAGCTTGAAAGTCATAACACCAGTCCGGATATGAAGGTGCCTGCAACTGTGGTGGCCATGAAAGAAGCTGCATTGTATTGGTGGTGACATAGGAAGAATTTTTGCTAATGCTTGTGGCGAGATTGGACACGTGTTTCAAGGTCATTCCGTTTGAACGATTGGCAGACATTAAACAGGGGAGATCGGTGGATGACTAAGTAACTTTATTTGTTCAATTGGCTAGCCAAGTTTCGGGTTTAACAGATGCGGAGTATCTGGGCCAGTTTATGAAAGGACTAAAGGACTCTATTCAAACTTCCTTCCGTCTTATTCGCCCCAGAGACTTAGAGACGGCCATGGAGTTGTATAGAGGCATTAAGGATAATCATTAAACACCGCACGCAAGCTCTATGTCCCGACCAAGCAATATGATTAAGGTTTCAACAATAGGGGTCAACCACAACGGACTTATTAGCAAACCTTCGGGTTATCCTTCCGTGGCTCAATTGGAGGCAACTAGTAAGTCAGCAGCCCGGAATCGATTTACCTGTCTCTCATCCCAAGAATTTTCTGAATTGCGAGCCAAAAGACTATGTTCTCACTGCAAGAAACCATACACCCCAAAACATGATATCCACTCAAACAATTGCGAATCATGATAGTTATAGAAGATAAAGAGATCTACAACAATTTGAATATTATATACCAAAGGGGCATGAAGATTGGATGGGAGAGCAAGTAGATGCATCGATAGAAGATAGAACTTTAGCGTTTTTCTTTGTAGAGGACTTTCCAAACCAACGGACTATGTGATTGCATAAAGTTGTGCAATAAAGGAAGATAACAATATTAATCGATAGTGGCGCTAGTCACAATCTTATATCTTCTTTCTTAGTATCTACACTACGATTGCCTCTCGATCATACATAAAGATTTGGAGTTCCGTTAGGTAATGGATGAAGATGAGAATAAAAAGGATTATGCCAGGAGGTTATGGCTCATTATAGGGTAACAACCAATTGTTTTGTGTTTCCCCTCGAGGGTGTTGATATTATTTTTGGTATAGTTTGGTTAACCACGTTGGGGGATGTACAAACAAATTGGGAAGCTGTTACTAATGTCCTTTGAGTGGAAGGGCGGCCAAGTAGTGCTGACAGGTGACCAAACCCTAATCCAGAAGACGCGGGATCGAGCCCGCGAGGGGAAAACAAGGGAAAGATCTAAGCTTATTCCAGTTCTCATACTTCGACTTTGGACACAAGGTCGATTTGAAGAGGGGTGAAATTGATAGATAGAAAAGTTGAAAAGGTGTATGAAGTTGAGATTAAAAGAAAACAGAGCTTCGGCCAATGCTTGTGTATTAACGACGGGATGGGCTTAAACGTGCTGTTAGCGGGTTCAGATATTATTTACTTGTTTTTTTTATCAATATATCATATTTTGAATTGGGCTTGCCCTCTAGTTATTAGGTAGACTTATTTTATCTTTGGTAAGTAGGGTTTAGGTAATAGTATTAACGAGTAATTAAGGTTTAAGACTATTATTCTGGAATTTTAGAAATAAAGTAGCCGTCAGACTTTGGGCAAATGATTGATACCGTATGTTGTTATTTGTCTACATAGTTCCTTATCTATATAGTCAACACTCCCCATAACATGGAGCGTATACATTTACTATGCTCAACTTGAAGCAAATATTGTTGATTTCCACTCCAGTTAGTGCCTCTCCAAGTTGAGGTTCAGGCTTGACGTTCTATAATGACGAACTCTTCTTGGACCATGTGATAAAGAAAGTAAGAATCAACCTCAACATACTTTGTTTGTTCATGGAGCATTGGATTAGATGTAATATTTAGGGTGGCTTTGTTGTCACACCTTACTTTTTTCCAGGATATCAAGCTTAGGGGCAACCTCTTTCAATAATTGTTGTATTCATACCATCTCACATACAAAATCTGTTGTGCCTCTATATTATACTTCAGCAACAAATCAAGATATTACATGCTGTTTCTACTTCGCCAAAATACAAGGTTGCCTCCTGTGAAAACACAATAACTTGAAGTAGATCTCCTATTGTTTTTACACTCAATATAGTTTGCATTTAGTAAGCATTTTATTTTAAAGTGACTATATCTGCTGTAGAATAGGCCTTGTCTAGGGTATGTTGCTCCAGAAATCCCCAATGATTTACTGAAGGTAAAATGATGAATTCATAAACCCACATGTGACATTAATTGCAAACACAATCTCAGGGCAAGTTACTACTAAAATTTAAATAATTTAATTTTCCAGATGTGAGTTGTCAATCATTTGAATAATGAAAGACTTGGTTCCTAATTTAAGAACTTATTTCTTTTAAAATTGACAGCCCTCGAGCTGTGCAATAAAAAATTCCTACTCTTCTAATTAATATTCGTCGGAATAGCGAGCAGGATCGCTCCATAGGGATCGATTGAATTGTTTCTTTCACCTCTTAACAAATGAAATTGGGGGATTTAGAATAAAATTAAAGAATTAAAAATAAATAATGAAAACTAAAAGGCAAACTAAAATACTTCAAATAACAATAATTAAAAACTAGCTAAATGATTGATTTCAAAAGTAAACTCATGTGTTTGATCATCGATTGCATATTTTATTCCATTAAATTCATTGATAAATTGGTTATAGGGATAACAAGTTGTGACACCCAACTTCCCCTTACTGAATCGTTAATCGAGGTACGACGTTGATTAATTCCCTAATTGGAGAGAAATCTAGAACTACGGACTTAAATTTCTCAATTGCATTAAACTCTAGAAAATTCCAATTATGACTTGCTAACACCTACATAGGACTATCGAAATCAAATCATAAAATTTCTAAAATAATTTGTATGCATCTTATCATCGTTTAGATTGACCAAGTACACAATTACAAATGCAATCATTCAATTAATCATGGATTAACGACTTAATCTAAATATCCGGCCGTAATAAAAAATCAAGACAGCAAACCAAATTACTTTTTCACATAAACTTTACGAATACCAACAAATAAAATAGAAACTTTATTAAAAATCAATCTTACAAAAATCATCAATCGATTGTTGGCTTAGAAATAAAAACTTAACTACACATAATAGAAGAGAGAAAACAACACCAACAAAAAAGGATAGATTATGATCAAAGGTTGAATATGGATGAATTCTCCTATTGCCGGTATGGTTTTAGTGTTCGTCTTCCCGCAAAAGTGATCTTCCTTATGCCTCCAACTTTTTCCTCACTTAAGATCGAATTGTCTTCATTTATAGTCTTCTTGAACCATAAAAAACATCCAAGTTCAACCCCCGGCTTATCCTATCACATACTATTTTCTAATTTCATCGAATATGGTAATGTTCTTTTGATATGGAATTTATTCCATCTTTGAAACTTCAAAATCTAGTAGGTTGACTTGCGTTGTGTAGATATGGCCTCCTTTGTTCCATATGTTGAAATTGATCCACCGGTTGAAGGCAAGATGTCCACAAGTCGAACTTTCCATAAACGATGAAATTTTGGATTTTACCTAAAATAGTAAAAAATCACTAGAAAACTATCCAAAATTTTAAAAGTAGAGCTACAAAAGGCTAAGATACTCTAAATCAAGATGATCTTTCCTAAGATTTACTTTTCTAATGACAGAGTTGAGTAGCACTAGAATGAAGACAAATTTTTGTCACCAAAACTAACACAAACAATAGTCATTATAGTTAGAAAGTCATGAGGAAATGCAGAAGCAGCATGATTATTACTGGTCTTTTAACTGATGAATATTGCACTCATTGTTATTCTGAAACATAAGACATTTTCTTTTCTCTACAGGGTCATTCATTTCGCGAACTTATTGATCGTTCAACTCGTATTCTTAGTAACTACGAGGTAATATTTCTTAACATTTCTTTTTTTATAGAGAGTAAAATGACTTGACCTTTTGTTGTCTTTCCCAGACTGTGGATACATATTACAGGCAGTGTTGCAATTCTGGCTTTATCAAAGGGGTAATGGTGCCCCTTCTTTGCATTAGCTCTTTAGATGACCCTTTATGTGCCATGGAAGCCATCCCATGGGATGAGTGCAGGTATGCAGTGTGGCTGGCCATCAATCTTTTTGTATTAAGTAAAGTTTATGTTTCGACTGATTGTGATTGGCATTATTGATTCAATGTGAAGAAAGAGTGTTTGTAAGCTGGGTTAAAGGCCATTTGGCTTGATTAGGTGTCTACTTAAGTACATTTGTATGAATTTGTACAAAGATACAAATAATTATGTCAATATTGTATTGATTATCCATGATAATTGTTTAGCTCTTTATGGATGGAGATTAGGACAGGTAAGGTTTAACGGATGTTTTTATAATTGTTGCCCGGTATATTTTTGTTATTAAGAATAGGTCTTTTCACAAACCCCCTTTATGATAGTTAATTTTTAATTTGTGTTCCAAGTTGCATTTCTAATGCCAATCATATCTTAACATAATAGACCAAGAAAGAATGAAAGATTGATTATTGTAGGAACCATTTGCAATCAGCAGTTGTAGGAAGATGTTATTTCATTTACTTCCATTGAGAATATCTTGAATGTGCATGAGTTTAGAAACCTGTTGAACCATTGATTTTAACAGCATTCGTATTGTTGTGATGAAAGTGATATTCGCTTAAAATTATTCAATGACTAGCTGATAAGTCTGTGAAGGAAGCAAATTATAATGCACCTTGCTTTTTCAACACGCGCGATTCTCATTAATTCTTGAATCCACAGGTTAAATGATAATGTCATCTTGGCTACCACAAAACACGGAGGCCATGTCGCTTTCTTCCAAGGTTTAACAGCAAGAAGTGTTTGGTGAGTTGTAACATTGTTTAAAACAGATCTTTCTAATACTTGAATCTGCTCCAGTAGTTTAGCAGCCGTGCTCTACTTTTTCCATTCATTGCGAATTGACAAAGTTTTTAACAACCAAGACACCTGGGATCTTTGTCTCTTGTTTTTTTTTTCTTGCTTTTTGCCGACACCACTTGCATGATATTTAGTAGTTGCTGCATTCTGATTCAGCTGGTAACGCTTACCAACAACTTTCTACTTTTTGTTTCTCTCGTAGGTGGACGATTGCTGTTGAAGAATTTTTTCTTGCTCTACAATCCAGCTTTCTGAGTCAACGTAAAAACAAGGTAAAAATTAAACACTTTCGCTCTTCCACTGAGATTTTCAACGGCTTCAATACCTATATAAAAGCATGAAAATACCTTTGGAATAAGGTGGATTTTGTATTGATGCAATTGTACCTCATATGTTGTTTTTATTCGGTTCGATACATTGAGCTGTTATTTAATAATGTAGTCGTATGTTCTTGCAAAATTTAAGAAGTTACATAACCAAATTTTTGTTCATTGTTCATATTGTGTCTTTGGTCATACAATTTGATGAGTACCTTTATATGAGATGTCTTGGCTCAAGGCATACAAATTGAAAGTATTGTTATATAAATTTAATTGTAGATATTGAACTCATATTATTTTCAATTATTGCATAAGGTCACCTTGGATATGCTATATGTTGTTTGAATAATAGGCATATGTTGTTTACTACTTTAGCTATTATATTATTTAATCATAAACTCTCACTAGGTTATTGTTCAATTTGTGATTTTTATTATTTTTTTATAATTGAATATGATGTTCATAGATAATCAAGAGGATTTTTTTTTTTTCTTTTTTCATATATAATTACGATTTTGCTACATAATTTTTTATGTTTAAAGAATAAGTTAGTTTATGTTTAAAGAATACATTACTAAAAAATATTACTATACTTAAATTTAATTAACACTGATTAAAAGCAACATAACCAACTCCAGATTGGCTCCATTTGGAAGGATTCAATACATTATGAATGTATTTTAGCTTGTACCTATTTGATTGACAGGTTCAAATTAAAGTTGAAAATTGTTAGAAGGGATTTATTTAAATATATAATACAATATATATAATTAAAAATATTCTAAAATATATGTTTAGGAATTTTAAAAATTATATTTCAATAAAATTATACCATATGAATATTATTTTAGAAAATAAAATATTATATAATAAAAATAAATAGAAAACACATTTAATTATTATTAACATAAATTAATTTATAAAAATAGAAAATTTTGAATAATTTAGATTTTAACTTTTAAATATACTTATCTTTTTGTTTAAAAATCATTCGAACTTTTTCTAGAAATATGGCATAGGTTGATAATTTTAAATTATTGGACTAAAAACAATTTACCCAAATTTTAATTTATAGTATGATATTTAAAAAAAAATGGTAAATTATATAACACCTTGTGTTTTAGTAAAAATGCACAAAATACATGTATTTTAATTATTTATTGCTCGAAATCCCTTAGGTTAATGTAAAGTTTGCACGAAACGCAAGTAAAATATCTTAAAACATATGTATTTTATTTATTTACTGCTTGAAACTCATTTGTGTTAATGTAAAGTTTGCACGAAACGTACTTAAAATATTTTAAATATTTTTTTTGAATAGAATAAAGAAATAAATAATTGATTAATTTTTCATTTTATAATTTTTTAAAAACAAATTGTTATCTTATTTTTATAAAATTATAAAAATAAATAATTGATTATTTATTTATTTTATTAAAAGAATTATTTAAAATATTTTATATTTTTTTATTTGTATAAAACTTTATAATTTAGGTCTTATTTGATTAACAATGAGGTATTTTATGTTTTTTTTATTTATGAACTTTATAATTTAGGTCATATTTGATGGACAGGTGTTTTATGCAAATGATGCAATAAATAAAACACAATATTTTTACTAAAAACACACCGCGGAGTGTTATATATTTTATCCTAAAAAAATCTCCTTCCACAAACTAATGGTCCTATTTTTCTATTTAGAATGTCCAACAATTATTATCCTCTTTTTATTTTATACACAAAATTTACCTTTATTTTATTTACTCGTTTATTTTATATACACAAAATTAAGAGCAAATTTGTTATTTTATAATAAAAACCCTAATTGTCTGAAAATACGTGTAAATATCAAACAGAACATTAGAAAATAATGGAGTATATATTTAGGGTGTGTTTGTTTGGGGAATTGGATTGAATTTAGACTATTTATCTAATTTTTTTTCCAAAAAAAATATCAAATCAAACACTTATTTTTCATTTTTATATTATACTAAAAATTAATTTTACATTCAAAACATTCAACTATTCAAATTCAAAATTTTTTACTATTCAACTCAAAATTCAAACCACCAAACAAACACACCATTAGTGTAATATTTTTTAGAAACAAAATTTAACTAAAAGTAAGTGGAAACAATCCTCCAAAAAACACAAACCTACCACGAAGATTGACCGACCACTACACCAATATTACGTAGAAAGTTCCGTCGCAAAGACGACAAAATTGGAGGTATGTGTCGATAACAGGCGAGGGGGCACAGCTATCAGTTTCCTTCCCTTGGCCTGCTTTACATTTCGTGCTATGGCCGATTCTATGCTCTCCTACTGCTACTGCTAGACCGATTATTACCCCAACACCACTCCATCCATTTCATTTTCATTGAATTCGAATCGACTTTTGTCCCGCAATGGCTGTATCAGATCTGGTGGAGGCGCTGTCGGGGTCGCCGTACGAGGCGTTGTTCAGGGCGGCGCTGTCGATACCGCTCTCTCACTATCTAGTGGGATTGTCCTTGATTGTGGCCGTGTTTTTGTATAACTTCGTCGAGATGCATTTCCTGGAGGATTTTCTCACTGGATTCAGGGGACAGCCGGTGGTTTTGACTTTCAATCCCACGTCTCAAGTCTACCGCGATGTTGTTTCCAAGTGTAGGATTTTCCGCGGCAGGTACGATAATCTTACTGCGAATTGGAAGTTTTATTTGTTTGGTTGGTTTTTTGAATTTTCGAAACTCCTGCGCTTGCTTTTGTGTCGGTGATGATAGGTATTTGTCCACTCCATGGTTGTGCAGTCCGCATCTTCAGACGATTTTTGTGCAATTTTTTGGTAATCCTCCCGTTGTCAATTACAGAAGGTGATTTGGGTGGATATTGCAGCGTTGTGTTATTCATTTAATCACCTTGTCGTCTTGTCAACATTGCATGAAGCAATAGCAATACACTGTTGTGTGCAGGCAGATTTTTATGGCCTCCGATGGTGGAACTATAGCTTTAGATTGGGTCAAGAATGTTGAAGGTAGCAAGTTTTTCCTCGTTTTTTATTTGTGAATTGCATTTGAGAAAATGTTTTACTGGGAAGAAAATAGTGTTAGTTGTAATATTAATCTACTAGGGGTGTGTTTGTTTGAGGGATTGGATTTTTTTTCCCAGTATTCATCCAATTTTTTCCACCAAAACCATCAAATCAAACACCTATTTTTCATTTTTTATATTATACTAAAAATCAATTTTACATTCAAAACATTACATCAACACCTATTTATATCACATCATACAACTATTCAAATTCAAAATTTTTACTATTCAAATCCCAACTCAAAACCTCCAAACAAACACACCTTAGGATGATTCTCTGATAAATATGTTTCTGAAGCATAAACATGCAATTCAGGATACTTGCATCAATGGAAAATGAGTTTCTTAGTGACCTATTTTCTTTAAATGATTTCAGAGTTCCACTGTTAAAACTGCATAATATAATGATATTCAACATGGTTACCTTCAATGCTTTATTGGAATTGGGGTTTTGTTTGACGTCATTATTTGCTCAAATGGAATCATAAGTAGGAAAACTTAATTGATTTCGATTATTTGATTTTACAGTAGCATCAGATTTGGCCATAAACTCATTTTTTGTAGAGTGGAAGTAGATTGTATAACCAAGCACAAGTAGAGAGACTTTGATAGAGAATTAGAGCTACAACCAAATAGATAACTCAACATCTTCCTAAGACAGCAAAGAAGTCTGCAACTCCATTTAAGCTTCGGCGAATATGTTGAAAAGTGATGAAGGGAAAATTATCATTAAAGAGGCAAAACTGGTTAATTTTGAATTCATTACCATGGCGAAGAAGAAAATGATACAATCGAGAGTGTTCATATGTCGCTTGCCACCATGATTTTAAGAAGAGAACTGTGTTGACTCTCAAGAACCATTTCAAGAGTGAGAACAATGGCCAAGATTTATATCACATGTGAGTCTTCAATGCCAATATTCTTAGAGAGGATAACTAGAAAATGCCCGTGATGATCTCGGCTGGCTGCTCTAATCCTGTTTGGACCGCGGTTTCTGAAAGCTAATCCATCACTTAATTTTCCTCAGAGAGTGATATAGGGATAGAAAAAAGTTGGTTTGGAATTGGGTGACTTAGGATGCCCAGCAAAGACGTCTTAAAGATTATTCACCAATGAAGAAATAGGGAGATCCAAATCTGGAGATTGGACTTTATACCATTCTCCAACCATGAGACGAACTCAGAAGAGAAGTTCTTTCTTTACAACAACAAGAGTTCATGATTGCTTTCTCCCCTCTTCAAATTTGACTCATTGAAGGGAAGTGAATGCACAATTAAGCCCTCATTGTTAACAAGCACAATTGCAGGACTCTTAGATTTCAAAAAAAAAAAAACAGTTTTAAGTTTCTTTTTCATACTTGAAGATTAGTCCAGAGTGAAGTGAGAGACGATCATTGGGAGATAAGATCAACACACAACTAAGTCCTCATGTTAACGCCAAACCATTGTGGGACACTTTGTGTGATACCCCCGGAGTGCCGTTGCTTGGCCAACTCTCGTATGTGGATGAGTCGGTATTAGGCCATCCAAAGTTGGTTAAATGTTAAATGGATTGAATAGACTACTCATGTCAACAATGTGCACATTTCTTTTCGAGAGTCTTACTGAAAGAACTCTAGAGTTAAGCGTGTTTGCTCTAGAATAATTTGAGGATGGGTGACCCTCTGAGAAGTTTCCCAGGGTGCGCGTGAGTGAGAACAAAAGTGCGCTGGAAGGACTCGTGTTGACCTGTGGGGGTGCCAGCCTACGATCCCAACATGCTCGGCTTCGCGTGGCTTGCGGACTGGGGTGTCACAGTTGGTATCAGAGCCGACCTGCGACAGTCCGATGTCGTAGTTGTTGACCGAACTGTTGACGGGCCTAGCAGTTGACTATCTTTGGGGTGAAACATGGACATTGCATTCTAAAGTGGGAGAGGATATGATATTCCTGTAGTTGGGTCGTTTGGCCAACTCTCGTATGTGGATGAGCCGGTGTTAGGCCATCCGAAGTTGATTAAAGATTAAATGGATTGAATAGACTACTCATGTCAACAATATGGACATTCTTTTTCGGGAGCTCTACTGAAGAATAAACGTGTTTGCTCTAGAGTAATTTGAGGATGGGTGACTCTTGGGAAGTCTCCCAGGGCGCGCGTGAGTGAGGACAAAAGTGCGCTGGAATGACTAGTGTTGACTTGTGGAGTCTACGATCTCGAAATGCTCGGTTTCGCGTGGCTTACGGGCTGGGGTGTCACATTTTGATTTCCCAAAAAATAGTTTCAAGCATCTTTTTTTTTGAGATTAGTCCAAAGTGAAGTGAGAGATTATCATTGGGAGATAAAGATCAATGCACAATAGTGGCCAAACCCATGAAGTTTCCTTAGTCGCGGAAATAGGTTCATATGTTTGACTCCAATGGGCAAATAAAAAAAAAAGAAATTTGTCTACATATAAAAATGTGGCATAGAGGGCAAAAATCATACGAGGCTATGACACTATGTAACCATGGATAGCTATGGGTGTTTTGGAGTTTGGCGTTTGAATAGAGGTTTTGATACGATATTTGTGAGAAAATAATGTATTTTTATAGAAAATTATGATTGTTGCATAGTAAAAAAACTAAAACAAAACTTCTAAAGAACAGAGCTTAAGACTCCCTCTCATTGGAAAGTCACAATGTGGAGTTTCCAAATAAATGTATAACTCTACAAGGGGCATTATGAAACCAACAGTCTGCCATGGTTGCCAGTTTTGGTAAGAATTCAAGTTCAATGCCTACCAAAAGTATTGACAAGAGAAAATACCATTACGAATAGCAATCACATAAGCCGATCTAATCACAGGAGAGATATGGGCTAAATTACTAAATTAATGGTCCTCGAAGAAAGAATTCCAAATGTTAGGGTCTGTTTACTTTGTGTTTTTTTTTTTTCCAAATTTTGTATTCTCTCTTTCCATTAAATATATACCCATTTGAGTTGGACACATATTTTAATAAATATAGTATTGTATTGGTTGATTGTTAGTATTTTGGAAAATATGTGAGCGAGTTAATGAGGTGGGAGAAAATTTTGGATAAATTAAGGGTGTGTTTGTTTGGGGGATTGGATTGGATTTATACTATTCATCCAATTTTTCTCCTCCAAAAACATCAAATCAAACACTTATTTTTCATTTTTTATATTATACTAAAAATCAATTTTACATTCAAAACATTAAATCAACACCTATTTATATCACATCATACAACTATTCAAATTCAAAATTTTTACTATTCAAATCCCAACTCAAAATCCAAACCCCCAAACAAACACACCCTAAGTGTATAAATAGTTGTGGCATAGTTGTAAATAACTGCAATGTTGCAAGAAGTGTGTAAAAGTTTTTTTTTTGCTATAAATGAAAAGTGCATATTTTCGTAGATAAAAAAATAAGAAACAGGCATAACTTCAGGCATAACTTCGGATTGAGGGAGCACTATATAATCTCTCAATTGCTTCCATAAAAATCAAATCCAACTACATTTTCTAAATAAAACATCACATTCAACAACTATTTGACATATAAAACACATCAGAAAAAGAATGAAAAAAAAAAAAAAAAAAAAAACTCAAATTAAACAACTTGCCAATCTTCCGGTCAAGAAGTCCTCTGCAGAATTTAATATCCTAAGCTCAGACCCCACCAAAACCTTCAATAAATCATTGGTTTGTTTACTGGTTTCTTTTTTTTTTTTATTATTATTATTTTTAAAGTTTTTGTATTATGGTTTTATTGTTTTAGGGGTGAAATAATTGTTGGACATAATGTTTTAAGTGAAAAATAGGTGTTTGATATGTTATTTTAATGGAAAATTAGGAAATGGAATGGTAAAAAATGGGAAAAGAAATCAGAATTTATCAAGGGTATCTTCCTGCAAGTAATGGACAGTATATGGGCAAACATCCTTTTTAATGAACACAAGGGTATTGCTGTGTGTTCTTTTGGAGTTTGGTTTGGTTTGGTTTTGTTTTTCGTTGTTGTTTTTTGTTTTTGTTTTTGTTTTTTTTTGAATAGTAGTTTCTAGTAATGTTTCATCAGATGAAATAACATTGAAACCAAACTCCAAGAGAATACACCCTCACTTTTTCCAAAGACCTGAGTTGTCTTGGAAATGTTGAGCCCTATTTGAAAGAACCTTGTTTAAACAACTAAGTGATGTCAACCTGCGCTTGCCAAAATTTTTACTTTGGCAGGTTCTCATAAGCTTTTTCAAAATCCACTTTCAGGATGAAGCCTCCATCTTTGCTATGTCTGAATCTACTACTTCATTTGCGAATAGAATACTGTCAGCCACCTGTTTACCTTTGAGAAAACTAATTTGTTGTGGCTGATTCTGTAGCGAAGGACTTCCCATAGCCGGATTGGCATAGTCTTAGTCTGAAGTTTGTATAATCCTCCATTAAGGGAGTTAGGATGAAAATTGAGATATCTGATGGACACGAGAATAAGAGATCTTTTTAATTAGGAAATGGGAAGTGTTGATAAGTAGGAAAAAAAAAAACCTATCGAGAAGTATTAGCAAACAACCATTTTATACCATCAACCAAATTGAGCTCAGATGCACTTATTCAAAGAGAATAGATTCTAATGCAGCTTACCTACCATAACCAATCTATGAAAAAACTTGGTGTTGAGATCCCCGTCGAAAGTACACGAGACCCTTGATCGTTGCCTCCACAATGCTTCACATTTCTTTTAGGATCCCAAATAGAGGACTTGCAGAAATAACTTTTTCCCGAAAGAGATGGTGAATTTCTGTTCTTGAACCCCTCCTTAAGTCCTCTTTAGTCTTAGCACCTTGGTGACTTATTGTCTAAATGCGCTTTTTAGGATTGAAGTACGTTCATTGTCATCCATGAATGACTCAAGATTTTACTATTTATTTAGTTTGCACAACATCTCTTATGGTTAATTCTATCATCTTTTTTGTGAAGATGTCTGCGATGTATGACCACATGTGTCCGAATGAATGAGTTTCCTTGAGAATTGAAAATGTTGTATTCTTTCATCCCTTTTATGATCGTTTAACTAATGTAAAGCTTTTTCCTTATGTTTCAGTTGATAAGCCTGCACCGCAGGTGAATTATTCATTCATGCAAGATGACAGGAATCCCATCCTAATCATCATTCCTGGATTAACAAGTGACTCTAATTCTAGTGTAAGTTATCTAATAGTGTGAACATCAACTTTTCTGTTTGTCTCTTTTTTAGTTGATCTTATATTTTTCTATTTGTAAAATGGTAGGAAATGTTTGCGAACTCAAAACATTCAAACCTCCTTAGCTTCACTAGTAGTCTTACAAAATAAAACTAAAACTGAGATCCAACTAGATGCTGAAAAGGGTGATGTATCATGATCACCATTGGTGACAACTTTGTCTAGTATTTACATCAATCAAGGGTACAAAGGACAGACTATGATATAGATAGGAAACATATTTTCAAGTTGGTTAGTGTTGTTATGGGATATGTCTTCCTTTTAATGAACACAATTTAGAACTTATTCAGGAAACAATGTAAAATGTGACACCAAATGGAAACTCAATTATATTACTTGCAAGAAGCTTGCAATGATAGTGAATGCTTGAACAAGGAGAAACCAGCTGACCAAGCAAACAACACACACACTCAAACATGCTGTTACAACTCATTTAGCTTCATGCCTTCATTCTTCCCTCTACAACTGTCTTGCGAAAATAAAACTTAGTAATCCGTTTACACATTACGAAACTGAAAAATCTATAGTTGGCAACCTATGCCTCTGTGAAGTAAGTATTTGCTTCAAGAAAGCCCTATTTATTATTGATGCTTTTATTTACACACAATAAACCTAACAGTCTTTGAGTCTAAACAGCATGCACACTCTAGCCCTTGTTCATCTCCAAGCATGCAGCATGGTGTTAGGGGATCCTAGCGTACACATATTGTTTGGACAAATTTTGTTAAATCTGACCCATTTTTTCTTTGATGATCTGTTTCAAGGCAAAAACTAATCATCTCTTACATTTTCTGGGCTTTTGTTGTGGCTAAATTGCTTCACATTTTCCTGATATACAATGCGCTACCATAATCTTCCACAGTATGTCAAACATCTGGCTCATAAAATGGCTAAACATGGCTGGAATGTTCTTGTGGCCAATCATCGAGGCCTTGGAGGTGTATCAATTACGGTGAGCACAAGTCTCCTAATTATTCTATTTCAAATTTATCTCATTTTGAGGATGGTGATAAATAGTTCTTTTGAACATAGTATTATGATCAGTTAGGATTGTGACTTTGTATTTGGAAACATTTAATTTCTTCTACTTATGAATACCTAAGGCTGATGATGGACTAAGGGTGAGACTGTAGAAAAGCCTGAGGAGAGGATGAAAATGCCATGATTTCCCATGTTGATGTGTCTAACTAGATTCATTTAAGTTCTAGCTATTCTTTTGGATAACTGAAACATATAAATATGTTTTCAACCTTTAGATTTTATTTTTTTATTTTTTGAAGAAACAACATTTCGTGAAAACATTTTGTTTCTTCATATTTTGAACTTCTCTAAGCATTAAAATATCATGATGTTTTCATTAGATTAGCTTCAGAGTTTGCTTATAAATATATATTTTTTTGTGCATGAAACTTTTGGTTGGAAGGAAATGATAGATTGAGAAATGCAAAAATAGGTTTGAAAACACAAGTATTACATATATTTATTTTGTGATTATGCTTTTATTGATGAAACCTGTGGGTTATATTTTTGACAGTCTGACCGCTTCTATAATGCTGGATGGACAGAGGATGTAAGAAAAGTGATTGAGTATCTTAACTGCCAATATTCAGCAGCTCCTATATATGTTGTTGGCACTAGCATTGGAGCAAACATTTTGGTATGCAGATTGACAGCTATGCTTTTCATCCTTTTATCAAATAATTTCAGATCTGTGATTTATGTTACTGGGTTTTCTTGTTATAATACATATTGTGCATATTATATTGAGATAGCTTTGTTAAAATATTGGTTTTCCTTTTATGGTATCAAGAACCATCAATTGTAGCCCTGTAAGGGATGACTTGGTGGTGTGGGAAGTGAACTTGTGACCGTGAGGTAATGGGTTCAAACCCAACGGCTTCAGGTCCACCTGCCACACATAGTTCGCCTAGTGTGACTTGGGCCTAGTTTGCAGGGTATTAGGTTCGGCCGAGGGTTTACCCAGTGCACACTTTCGGGTAGCTGCTGCGGGTTCCCACATTATCAAAAAAAAAAAAGAAAAAAAGAACCATCAATTGTAGGATTTAGTTAACATAATCTGTACTTGTGGTTATGATATCTTGTGTCATGGGGAAACTGATTATATTTAAGTATTTGTCATTTCATTGATCGTTTTGTTGTATGGAAATTAGACTTAAGGATAACCCCCCTCCCCCCTCATTTGTTTTTTCAAAGGAAGAATGAAAGACAAATGGCAAGCATGTATATATCTTGTATATTACATATTATCATATCCTCATCACAGTAGAACTAAAACAGAAAAAGATACAAGCAAACAGATTGTGACATAAATGGTAAGGGGCTAATTAAAGTAACATAGCTAGTGCAATGCAGTCAACTCTCAACACAAGATATATAACAATGATCAAATCATTTGAAAAAGTAAATGTTTAGTGTGGAGTGACAGCATGCACTAATTTTTTTATTAACCCTTATTTGGTTGAATTTGTAGGTTAAGTATCTTGCTGAGGATGGAATCAATACACCCATAGTTGGAGCAGCGGCAATCTGTTCTCCTTGGGACCTTTTGGTTAGTACTTTCACATATGTTGTATAGTAATATGGTGTCAGTTTTCTACTTTTTGATGACTCTATAATACTTTACATGATAGTAATAGTAATGCTAACAATATGTACTATTGAAAGTTGGAGTGTATTATTGCTCAAGTATTTTCTTATGACCATGCTTATCGTTCAATTTTCATACAAGTTACATATATAAGGTGTGTTTAGTCGTATCATGGGAATATACAATGTTTTGTATTTGAGATGTTTTGAATAGAAAATAGGCATAGATGTGATGTCTTGAATGTCGAATAGGTTTATGATGTTATATGTTTTAAACGGAAAATAAGTGTTGGATGTGATGTTTTTTTTTCAAGAAACAAATATTTTATTGTTGAATAGATAATACTACCTTTACGCTTTATCGTTTTATTTTTTCATGTCTTAGGTGGACTTATCTTTTGTTATATCTTGGGTTATTGCCTTTTGCTTATTGGATGAACTTATTTTAATTCTAGTAAGTAGCGTTTAGTAGTAGTATTTAATCAAGAGTAGCTAGGACTTGATATTTCATAATTAATCTTGGAAACAAGAGGCTTTTGGGCGAACCGTTGATACTATTTGATTGTTCTTTTCTTATTCATCTTGTTTCTATCATTTACAAAAATGTTTATAGTATGCATTTCATAATACTTTTGCATTTCATGATACCTTTCCATTTTGTCAGCTTAAACTTTTCACTTTTTTTGGAGTCTTTAAATTTTTACATATACTAGGTATGAAGGTTTATTGCAAGGCATTTCCCTTTTCGATAAAGTAGGTTGGGTTGCCATCATAGTTGGACTTTGGTTTGCTTTGTAATCAACTATGCCCCTTTCTGCTTCTAGATTTGTGACAGATTTATGAACCGACGACTTGCACAGAGGCTTTACAACAAAGCTCTAGCCATTGGCTTGAAAGATTATGCTCATTCGTATGTCCTGACATCTTTTTCTGTTCTATTTATGGAGTTTGCATCAAATGCTTAGATGTTTCCCTGCTCAAGATCACTAACCTGTAATGTCTTTAGGCACGAGGCTGTCCTCTCGCGTCTCTTAAACTTGGAAGGTGTTAAAAAGGTACTTGCTGTATTTTATTTTCTAAGCCATGGGGGAAAGCAAAAGCAGCATGATTACTGTTGGTCTTTAAGAATGCAAATATACAGAATGATGTGTAGATATTCAGCATGGGGTTCCATCTGTAATATTATTTTCAGAACCTAAGGGAGAATCTATATCAAGCTGCTTTTTAGTTGACGTTGTTCTACATGCCCTGAAAAATCTTTACTGATAAAAGTGCTGAGACTGTATTAAACTCTTTACTATTTCTGGCAATGACTTGTGAAGCATAACATTTATCTTTTTCTTTACAGTGTCATTCAGTTCGAGACTTTGATGATTGTGCAACTCGGGTTCTTAGTAACTATGAGGTAACATTTCTTAGAAATTTTCCTTTTGACATGCATAATATGACTTAACCTTCTGATGCTTTTTCCAGACTGTGGATACATATTACAGGAATTGTTGCAGTTCTAACTTTATCAAAGGTGTAATGGTACCCCTTCTTTGCATTAGCTCTTTGGATGATCCCGTATGTACAAGTGAAGCTATCCCATGGGACGAGTGCAGGTATGCAGTGTGCAGCGTGTCTTGCTATCAATTTTTATGAAGTGAAGTTTTTGTTTCTACAATGGTGATTAATATTGTTGGGTCACTGTGAAAATTGTTTGGGAGGACATTTGGCTTGATTGGTCTCATCCATCCATCATCCAACAAATGAGATTAAATGATGCTATTTAAGTATATTTTGATGAATCTGTAAAAAAATATTTGAATAATTATGTGGATGTTGCATTGTATTAACTAAAATAATTGTTTCACTCATTATGGATGAAGATAGAAGTCTTGATTATATTTTATTATTAAGAATAAATATTTTATTATAGACGCTATTTATGAAGAGTTAATTTAATTCCTTTTCCAAGGACGAAATTTTAATGTCAATGCATGCCTCAACAAAATAGATCGAGATAAAGTTTAACTATTGCAGAAGCATTCACATTCAGCAATTATTGGAAGATGTTATTTCAGTTAATTCCATTAAGGATTTTGGAGGATTTCCACTGTTCATCCAATTTTTTTCCCCCAAAAACATCAAATCAAACTCCTATTTTTCATTTTTTATATTATACTAAAAATCAATTTTACATTCAAAATATCACATCAAACCCTATTTATATCACATCATACAACTATTCAAATTCAAAATTTTTACTATTCAAATCCCAATCCAAAATCCAAACCTGATGTGATGTTTTGAATGTAAAATTGATTTTTAGTATAATATAAAAAATGAAAAATAGGTGTTTGATTTGATGTTTTTGGGGGGAAAAAATTGGATGTATAGTGGAAATCCTCCAAAATCCTTCAAACAAACACACCCTAACAAACACACCCTTAATGGAATTAACTGAAATAACATCTTCCAATAATTGCTGTGAGCATTCTAGAAACTTATTGAACCATTAATTCAAAAGTGTTTGTAGTCTTTTGATGGTAGTGATATTGAAGTATATTCCATGCAAGCATGACTCCAGAAACCTGTTGAACCATTGATTCAAAATGTTTGTAATCTTTCGATGATAGTGATATTTTCTTAAAATATTCAATGTTTACCTGATAAGTTTATCCATGACACAACTGCAACTCACCTTGCTTCTAAGACATATGATTCTCATTAATTCTTGTATTCACAGATTAAATAATAATGTCGTCTTGGCTACCACAAAACATGGAGGTCATTTACCCTTCTACGAAGGTTTAACAGCAAAAAGTGTTTGGTGAGTAATCTCTAAACAGTTCTTTCTACTACTAAATTTGTTCCAGTGATTGAGCAGCCATGAGTTTGCTGACTTCAACTGTGGTTTATCTTTTTCTGTTAATTCATATTGGCAATTTCTTTAACAGCAAAGCACCATGCCCGGGATATTAATCTGTTTTCTCACTTTTTCCGAATACAACTTGCATTTTATTATAGTAGTTGCTGCATCCTCATTCATCTGCTGCTAAGACTTACCAACAATTTTGTACTTGGGGTTTTGATGCTGTAACTCCTTTGTTCTTTCATAGGTGGGTGAGGGCTGTTGATGAATTTTTTTCTGCTCTGCGATCCAGCCCACTGAGTCACCGTAAAAAGGAGGTAAAAATTAAACACACTCTCATATTACCATTTATCCCATAAAATTTGCATAGGGTCTGAAAACCTAAAAGCATGGAGTTATTACAAAAGAATTATATTCATTTTTAATGAATTCCGGCTTGCACCAATATATTGAGTGAATCTTGTAGAGTCACTGTTTTTACATGATATTCTCTACAATTTTGATAACATCAACTGTTTTTTGATGTTTTGTGCGCAGATTCCCGATTCATCTATCAATCCTGCACAGCCACCCATCGATCACGCCCCATATGTCCAAATTTCAGGAGATGGTATGGTCGCAGCAGTGAACAATGAAACTTCTGAAACCGAAACCCAACACCTGGGGAAAGTGGACGACAAAACCATGTTTGAAGACGCAACCAAATCTGAGTCAAATATCCTAGAGAATCAAGAAAGAACCTCTGATCTCCCTCAGCCCACCGATGAGCCTAGCGACGTCGCCTGTGCCCCAAAGCACGATATCAGTGACATTACAGCTCCCGTGAAGAGATCCCTAAATCAGCTCTGGCGTCAAAACAGAAAATCGACATGGCTGCTTTTCTACATTGCCATTGTCACCACTTGGCCTGTTGTCGGCTCGGCCCTGTTGGTTTTCTTCCGGAAGAAGTTCAGAGGTTATTTTTCACCATCGTCGGTGAGAAGGGGGTAAGCGAGGTTCAGTTAATTTATTGTTGTGAACTATAATTAGTCATGTCATGTCATGTCATCCTTGTTGCCATCAAAATAGCCGTTGGAGTGGTAGTCGTGTCTATGTTGTTGTTGCATATCATGAATAAGTGACGTTGTACCGTTGTGCACAATTATGGTATGGGCTTAGTTTGTTAGTTTACAACTGTAATATGTCTATGACAAATGCATTACTTGTGAACCTGTAGACAATGAATAAAGATAACAAATTCATTAGTTTGATTCTCAAGTTTTATTCCTAATATTTCCAATAAAATTTTAATTTAATATTTGTTATGTCACACATATATAAATATATATATATATTGAATAAAGTGGGAATCCGATGCTAGCTATTATTAATATATATGTCTATATATAATTCATGTTATAATTTGTTATAAGTTTTTTCTCTTACTATTTAACCTTCGAATTTTCTTTTAGAAAAATATTATAGGTCTATTTATAAGTGAAATATATAATGAATGTGCATACATAATATTTTAAAATTTAAAATTTAAATTTTTTAATCTTAATTAAACTATTTAGTTATTTAATCTTAATTTATAATTATTTTTTATAAATAATAATTATTTTTACTAGTACATTTCTTAATTACTTACTAATTATACTTTAACTAAATTCTCGTGTCTACGGTAATAGACCCATATATTAGATGGGACGGAGGGAGTATTTAAAAAAAAAAGAGAGAGAGAACAATCAAAAGAAATAAATTTCATATATTATAAACTGAAAATAAAATACAAATGAAACATTGTCAACCTCATAAATTTTTATTCAAAAGTCCTTTTTATAGTTTTTTTATGGAATAATTTTGAACATATGATCTCACAATTACTAATACATCCCCGCATAAGCAAATACCATTTCTTATAGGACATTGTTGGAATTTAGATTTGCCCATGTGAGTAGTGACATAGGATTGTTTGGATTGTCCATATTTGTAGCTAGTGTTCAGAGTTATTTTCGACTTTTAATGAGTTAGAATAAAATAAAATAAATATTTCAAAAAAATATATATAGTAATTTTTCACACTTATAAAAAAGTAAAATTAATTAGATATTATAATTTTTTCATAATTTGTTGATTTAAAAAAAAAAAAAAGTTGATAATAATATTATTACCAATTTTGTCTAATATTTTCTTTTTAATTATACTCAAATTATTTAGTTATTCTTAAAACCTCAAGTAAGTTTTCAATCGTAATAATAAATAAATAAAATGTAAACACACCTATGTAAATGGAGTTTTGGTGCAAGCAAATACACGTTCAGTATTCATTGCAACAAAGAAATACTACTTTTTGGTTTAATTTTGAATTTATTTCATTGGCAATATAAATTATACACTATTTATATACGTATTTGTATGTATACATTGTTTACCTGATGTGAGCTCAGCTGTACCATAATTCATTTTCATCATCATTTTAATTAGACCCAAATCCAAATCGTTTCTTCTACCTCAAAATAAAAAATAATCACTCTCAATTTTGGTTCCGCTGCCCTAATTTCGATCCAAAAAACTTCCGATCGCATAAACCCCAAATCTCCGAGTTTCTTCTTCCCAGCGGCGGCATTGTCCTGAGATCGTGGATCTTTAATCAGGGATCAATAATCCCATATCGATTTCCTGTAGTTTTGCCCATACCCAGTTTAGTCGTACTGGGTCGACAGATGCGACTGCAGTTGGGCAATTTGTAGCTACTGAAATTTGGAAATCCTAATTTGAATGCTAATTTTGGTGTAGGATGAGCTTAGCTTACACAAGTTAGGATTCTGGGTGCTTTCGGTACCGTACTTAGTGGGATTGTTAAAATGGCATCGGAGGATGTGAATTCGATTACGTATAGGGGGATGTCAGCGGACAACATCAAAGGATTGGTGTTGGCTTTGTCCTCCAGTTTCTTCATTGGCTCAAGTTTCATTATTAAGAAGAAGGGATTAAAGAAAGCTGGTGCTTCAGGCACCAGGGCCGGTAATGCGCGGAACTTGATGTTAAAGCTTTTCCTGTAGTTTGATATAGGAATTTGGGGGATTTTAGGTGTCTGATTTATTGTCTGGTTGACACTAAATGTGATTTTTTTTTTAATATCTGATTAAATGATAAAGTGGCTTCAAAATATAATTGTTGCTATCCTGAGTTTTATGCATGTATATCTATTAGAGGTTATTTGAGAACGTTTGAATGCAGTGATCTGGTTTGTGTTGAGATTCAGGGTGGATGAGGTGTTTAGTACTGTAGTATGGAAATTGAATGATTCCTTATGTTTTGGTTGTTGGAATTTAGGTTTCTTGAAATGTTGAATTGCTTTGTCATTCATTGCCCTTCTCAAAAATAGTGAGGTGAATTTGGTTTGCTCTATGCTATGATAGACACTTTTAATGCTGCCATTAGTTATGCTACCATAAACCATTTTATCTGCATTTTTGTGTTAGCCATACCATAACCTACCGTAATACCATACTCTAGCCAGAAACTACTGAAATTATTATAAATATATATATATATATTCTTTTAAATTGATAATCTATCGAAATAGCGGTGTGGCTTTTGCTGGCTTCCTGTAAGGAGATGACGCAAAAGTTCTTTATAATGTGATTCCTGGTACTTTTTTAACCCAATGCTACAGTTATCAGCACATATATGTTTAATTTTCTGTACAAGTTGTTTTTAGATGGGTCATTTCCCCACAATGGTAGCTTATTTAACCTTTCAAATGTTTTTAGTTGATTGATAGAAACCATACTCTTAATATGCTTGAAATTACCTGCCTTGAAGAAATGTGCTTGAAATAAGAAATGTTTATCTGACTAGGAATATTTGAATTATGTTACAAATATGGTTATTAGTTTGCCTTGCATATTGATGAAGCTATAACTTTGTTATTCTAAACACCTTTCTGATTGCTCACTACTTGCTTTTTTAATTTCCACTTTAGTATAGTACCTTATGGTCATGCTCTATTATGTGTTTGTGTGCTAGGTTTCCCTTTTTTCTTTTCTAGAATGATGGTATCTCTCTCTTTCTGATGATTGGTCTTCTACAGCTGTTGGTGGATATTCGTATCTAGTTGAACCATTATGGTGGGCAGGCATGATATCAAGTAAGTACCATGCATTTTGTGCTTATCTATATTTAGTAGAACTCAAACATGATGTAAATTTATGATCCATTTAGTCGCATTATACATGAATAACAGCATAATGTATTAGTGATATTCTTTGTACTGGGGGAAGAGCTCACTGCATTAAATAAGCTTCATTTGATTTTTGCTCTGCCTATTTATGCTTTTTCACTTATATATTAGTATATCATGCTGCATTGCATCAAAAGCTTATTTAACCAGTGCATACGAGCACATCAAATCTATATAAGATGTTTAGTATGCAATATAGAAGATATCATATACATTGATGTATATAAATATAGATAATTAGCCTATCAGAGGTTCACAAAGTTCCTCAGAAAAGCAGGTTGAGCCTTGAGGTTCTTGCATGATGTATGTATTATGTAATGTGCTTTCTTTGGATGCTGTACAATATCAACTTGTTGAGGTTCTTTGCAAGTAACCTTAAAAGTCAAATCATGCCTGTGCATGCTCATAGAAAAATCTCTTTCCAGCCATGTTGTAGGAATCATGAAATACAATCAATTACGGGTGTTACCTTGATAACTTCTAAATTATAGTGAATCATTTCTTAAATCTGAATATCCTTTTGTTATTATTCTGCAGTGATTGTGGGTGAAATTGCAAATTTTGCTGCTTATGCATTTGCACCAGCTATTCTCGTTACACCTCTTGGTGCACTCAGCATCATTATCAGGCATGTTACTCTGCTGGTAATCTTTACTGATATGGTACTTTATTTTGATTGCTGACTAGTGTGATCATGCTGCAGTGCTGTACTTGCACATATTATTTTACGGGAGAGGTTGCACATTTTTGGTATTCTTGGCTGTGCTTTATGTGTTGTGGGCTCTACCACAATTGTTCTACATGCTCCAAGGGAACGTGAGATTGAATCAGTTCTTGAAGTATGGGAACTTGCTACTGAGCCAGGTGCTTTGAGTATTTTTTATCATGTCTTGTTGAAGTTTTTTTACTTTACAAAATTGTTATATGTTATCTGCCTAGTTAAAGATGATCTTGAATCTTTGCTGCAGCTTTTGTCTGTTACGCAGTTCTGGTGATAGCAATCGTCCTTGTACTAATTTTCCAGTATGTCCCACAATATGGCCAAACGCACATATGGTATTACGTTGGTGTCTGTTCATTAGTTGGTTCCTTGTCGGTAGGCGATAATATTTTTTCTCTCTCCACAGTTGCACTTCCACCATAACCAAAATATATATGTCAAAATTATGGGTGATGTCTTGGCAGGTCATGAGTGTCAAAGCACTCGGAATTGCATTGAAGCTGACATTTTCAGGAATGAACCAATTAATATATCCCCAGACATGGGCATTTGCATTGGTTGTCTTGGTTTGCATCCTCACTCAGATGAATTACCTAAATAAGGTAAAAGGAGTTTAATTTGATAATATTAGGCGAAATAGTTCCACAGTTTATTATGAGTATCAAAAGTAGTACTATTATATCAAATATAGTTCCAACTGTGTTTTTACTTTAGCATAGTATTAAAAATTTGATATATGTTTGTTACTTAATTAACGGGCAATGTTGATCTCAGTTAAGTTTTCCCATATTGCTGGATAAATACAATGCAAGTGGATTATATAGTAGCTGACGAGGAGGAATTTGGTTGTGCTGTAACTTTACATGGTTTTTTTTTAATAAAACATGGATGTGTTAAAGAAAAAGAAGTTTAATTTTTTCATTACATACATATGTTCAATTATCATTTTTTTTCAGTAGGATTTAATTGTGTAAGTTACAATTGTATTTTTCGGTCTTACTTGTTCACATGAACATCATGTGATTAAGACAATATGTGAAATTCACAAGTTACACTGAAATTGAGAATAATTAAAACTGACAGGACCGATGGAAAACATGTATATAATTGACAATTTAGGATATGTATGAGACAAATGCTATCAATGTTGTAGACAAAATACTAAATGTCTGTGTTTACACTGAATTCAACACATTTATAACTCAACTTGTTGAGTTGATAGAAATCGATTATTATTGTTTTTATTATCAATTGGTTGAATCTCTTGTAAGTTGTAACCTTGTTTTCATCTTCCACTTTTGTTCATTCCTTATTGAGTCAATTTTGGAACGATTCGATTTAATCCCAAGTCAACTTCAATCCAATTAATAGTCAGTTGATAGACTTTACAAGGAGAACTAGAGGTAAAGAGCCAGGGGGAAAGGCTAACAAAACCTATGAGCTTTATCTCTCCTGCACAAGCACGTATGTGACGGTGAAATTGTGGCGGAGATTCTTTAGTGGGAGCAAAAGTGGTGGTGTATACTGTCTTCTATCAAAATGGAAAGTCCTTGGGCTGCTTAGTCTACTTCTTTGCCATCAAAGCTGAGGTGTATTTGGGAGTGATGGCAATAAATGAGAGAAAAAAAAAGGGGGAAAGCATCTAGACTAGTTAGAAACAATTTTGACTGACTTGGCCATGTTGAACCATGGCATGGTGGCCCTCTGAATTAAGTCTGAAATAAAATCATATTTTCCTTGACATGGTCATGCTGAATTTCATGGTACAAAGATAACTATGTTGATTCGACATAGCCATCTTGAGTCATAGTATGGTGTTATCATTCCCATCGCTGTTGCATTACTTGCTTGAGTACACATCTAACCAGTCACGTAGACAGACTTGATGGTATTTTCGATCTGCTAACTAATGCTGAAATACCTATTTGGGACTTTGCTGAAGTATTATATTTATGGACTATTTTGGTACTTGCAATAAACTGTAGAATAGTTTTTACTTTCCCTCTATGACTTCATTTTGTCTATCATTGTTTCCAATTGTAGCACTATATTTTTTCCTACATTATTTTAAGGAAAAATGTTTCTCCGATATATTTGGCTCAATAATTGTGGAATCATATTATGTCCAGAAATTAAGACACTTTCTTGCCATGAATGATTGTGATTCAATACATAACGCCTGTGGCTGTCTTTCCTAATATTGGGTAAATCTTGAATGCAGGCCCTCGACACATTCAACACTGCTGTGGTTTCGCCCATTTACTATGTCATGTTCACATCACTAACCATCGTTGCTAGTGTGATCATGTTCAAGGTAATCTGCATTGCATATGGGATCAAATATCTGTATATGTAAATATAATGGATCGAGGATCATAGCTAACACCTGAACAGACAACCACTTAACCCCTTCTACTGACTTCTTTGTTTAACCAAGTCAGCCCAGTTGCACCGACCTGTGTTAAAGTTTTAAGTTTGTTAAAGAGTAAAGAAAAGAAATGCACGTGCATATTAAAGAACTATCAAATAAAATTTTATGGCACTTAATGATACATTTGGTACAAGTGCTGTCTCACCTCTTCGACAGACTACTAATTTGTTTCATCCTACTGTGAAAGTGTATAGTGTGACTGAGTAATGATAGGAAATCCTTGTCGTGAGCAGGACTGGGACAGGCAGAATCCAACCCAGATTGTCACAGAAATTTGCGGGTTTGTGACTATTCTTTCTGGGACCTTTCTTCTTCACAAGACAAAAGATATGGCCGATGGTATGTGCAACCAATGCTATTTTTTCTCACTTTAATTAGTGATGCCGAATAGACACATTTAGACATCTCGAGTGACCTTTCTTTCTTTCTTTCTTTCTTTCTTTTATTCTATTTTATGTATTCTTTTATGTAGGTTCTGCATCAATGAGACTCCCAAAACACTCAAATGAAGATGGATTTGGAGATGAAGGCATCCCACTAAGGCGGCAAGATTCAATAAGATCTCCAAGAGTATCGTGATACAATATTTTTCTTTGATGATTATTACTCGTAACTTACTTCGGAGCTCTCCCCTGAGAAATGATGCCACAGTTATTATCTTGTATTTTATCAGATGGGATTCCCCTTTCTACTCAACCTTTCAAGGTGTAACTAACTGCACGACTACTATTCTTGAATGTACAGGGTTTATGCTCTGAACCTCATGGCCAAGAAAATATCACACAGTGCATTTGTTGATTGATGCTGTTATTACTTTGCCAGTTATTTCTCAAGGGCTTTTGGTTCTAATGTTTTAATCTATAATGTCATACATATACATATATATATATATACATATACATATACATATAGATACTAATATATGATGATTGGGACTCGATTTTATTGTGTTTATTTGTAGCTTCACGTGTGAATAATTTGAATTTTTGTTTAAATAATTTTTTGATATAATATTTTGTGAGATGGCATATTGTATTTTTATTAAGAATTGTGTGGAGTGAATAAGTGTTATTGAAATCATAACAAAATCACATCCTGTTTACACTATTTCGGTTTTAGATTGTAGCACTATTTTGTAGGGAGATTGTACTACTCTTTATTTCACATATAGCTATGGTTGCACTAATGTGGGAGTAACTCATGTAGATTTGAGACCTTTATTTGATGGTATTTTTATTTTTATTTTTAAGTATTTTAATTTTTTATATTTGTTTTTAGATCATATAAAGTTTATTTTAAAAATTGGTTTGAAATAAAGTATTAGATTTGAATTTTTATTTAAATAGTATTTTACTGTAATTTTTTTAAAAAAATAATTAGTATATTTTTATTAAAATTTATATTAATTAAATATTATTGATTTTAATTTGAAATAGTAAAAAGCAAAACACATGAAAATTTTTAGCTCTTTGTAGTCTTTTATAGGTTCTATCTCTCTTCCATTCCATTGCAATATTGAATAATGTGATTCACTCTATCTTGCTTCTTTTGCTCTTGTGATTAATCGATTTTAATATACTCATATGATCATTTATTTATATTTATACAATGAAATGATTAATAAATCTATACTACATTTAAATAGTATTTTAATAAATAATTTATATTATTTAACTTTACAAAAAATTTCTCTTTGCACCTTATTCCATTTTTTTATAATTATACATTGTAACTATTATCAATAATAATATATTATTTCATTTCACAAGAAATCACATTGAATATTACTCCATCTGTCTCATCTATCATGTTTACATTGTCATTTTAATTAAATTAATTAGTTATTTTAAAACAATTTTTTCTTTCTTCCACTTTTTTTTCCAATCCTATCTTATATTCTAATAAACTACACTATTTTGTAAAATAATTTCTTACAACTCCATATATATACAGTGGCGGAGCCACGTAGGGGCTCGGGGGGTCCCGAGCCCCCCGAGCCGTCGTCCCCGCCGTTACGTTGACTATATTATTTGTTATATATGGTGTGTTTATTTAGGGGGAGTTTTGGGAAATTTGAGTTTGGATTTTGAGTTGAATTTGAATATTGATGTTTCTTTTATATTTAGGTTTGGTTAGGAGTTTGGAAAGTTTTGATATGATTGATTCAGACCAATAATAAATATAATAATATAAATGTATATTAATTTATATAATTTAATTATAAATTTATATTATATGTATATATATATAAATTTTTATATATATGTATTATAAAAAAAATTATTCATTATAAAATGACATATATATTGTATATGTTTTATCCTAAACCCGGTCAACAGTGGTCATACAATAGTTTTGGCCAAAACTACGCTGAAGAAACACACTCATAGATCATTTGTGCGTTTAAAATACATATTTTTACCATGAATTTCGTTCAAAATAATAAAAATTACTTATTTTTCGACCTCAAGGAAGCCTTTAATTAGCCCCCTCGACAGAACAAATCTAGCTCAGCCACTGCATATATATAGAAAAAATATATTACCAAATTAGCACGTTAATATGTTATATATTATATAAATATTTATTTATTGAATCAAATTACTATTGTGTTAAAAACATAATGTGTCAATATTTGCTATTTTGTTTGTAGACATTTGTAAAATTGGGTCAAATTAGCAATATGTCTCGACTCTCACCCTCACTCTCCCTCATCTTATCTCTAAATAAAATTCTAACATTGAAAGCACAATAACACAGAGAAATGAGTGAGAAATAACAAAGCACATATATATATATATAACAGCAACCAATTCTGTAGCAATTTCAGGCTACAGAACAAACATATCCCACAAAACTAAAGAACCAAACGTCGAAAACTATGTTACAGTGTTAGGAAGAAAGAAAGAAATCAAACAACATGAATGGGAGCTTCATCATCGATGTGTTTTTATCTACCTGTGGTTTATGTATATTTCATTTTCATATCTGATTCAAGAGCCAATGAGTTTCTTCCATCTGGCGTAACCCCAAATGATCACGAACAGCGCCACACTCACGCCCGTCATGGTCCAAACCACTTTGCCGAATATCCCATCAACTGAATACCAAGTGCACTGAATGTTCATGCCGAATATCCCAGCTGCAAGAGTCTCGAATGCTATGGCGAATGACGCAATCGTTATTGTCAGCTGCAGCTGAATTAGCTCGTTCCTCTGGTTGTCCAACTGGATGTTCACATAGTCCTCCGTATCATCAATATATTCGCGTACCTGCATACAACAATTCTATGAGAATACACCTCACCCAAAATACGAGACACGAGGGTGTGTTCTTTTATGATATTTTCCCAAAAATCTACTATTCGTCAAATATTTTTCCCCTAAAAATATTAAATCTAATACTTAATTTTTATTTCTTATATTATACTCCCTCCGTCTCTTAATAATCTATCTATTTTTTTATTTTGGTCGGTCCTATAACAAAGTATACATTTCTTTTAATAGTTGTACTATCTACCTAACATTACAAATACTGTTTTTACAATATATTACACAGATATCATTACCTTTATATCATACCATACTAATAAAGTTAGTTTAGTCTTTTTACTTTTATTTCTACTACATCCCGATATAATACTAATATTTCTAAAACTCTGTCCAAAAAGCAAATGAATATATAGATTTAGGACGGAGGGAGTACTAAAAATTAATTTTACATTTAAAATATCACATCAGCACATATTTATATCACAATCATACAACTATTTCAATTCAAAATTTTTACTATTCAAATCTAAACTCAAAATCCAAATCTCCAAACAAACTGTGTCTTCAAAGTCTACTCTTTAATATTAACGTGTGTTAACTTGTGTTTTCAAATTTGTTTTCGCACCTAAAGATATCACATCCAACATATCTTTTCTATTTTTTTAAAAGAAAGAAAAGAAAATTCAAATCTAAAACATACCGAAACAACAAAATACTCGAAAAATATGCCAGTTGATTCCCTTTACTATGGAGCTTCACAGGCAAAACTCGAATTCATGACCTCAACTATGTATTCAGCTACTGAGTTAAGAATGAAAATTGATGAAGAGCAAGTGTGTGGGTAAGACTCACAGAGAGTATTTTATTGCGGGTGCCATCTAATTGCATGAAGTAAGCTTCCAGCAGCATTTCTAGGTCCTCGACATCGAGGTCATTCTGATAGTTGCTTATGATACTAGCCCCACTTCGCGTAGAGCTGATCCGACGGAGTTGTGCAGAGGCTGAGGCTGAGATGATGCTGTTTGATGGGGGACCTGTCAACTGAGCCTCAGCTTGTTGGTTCTGTATCCACTTTCGTGTTACATACAGCTGGGCCATGTCCTCATTGTCATCCAAAAGATGTTCGATTTCGTCTCTAACCTATTATGGAGAAAGACAACACATTCACCCTTCTTAAGTAAAGACATCAAGCACAAAACAGGTTAAAGAAACCGACTAACATATATGTCTTAAACTGGACAAATGCCGCTCAAACAGCTGCAAAAAGGTTCGACTGAGAAACAACAATAGAGATTACCACAAACTAGACCAACACATACTGGGAATTTTTCACTACAATATTTCTGCACTTTCAGACTAAATGTAATCATAAATGCAAGAATAAGAAGAAAAAACAGATAAGCTGCATAGGCATTTTGCAGGAGGAGGTTGCACAAGTTTCTGCAGGTCAAATTGACAATGAAATGGAAGTCCAACATGTAAGGAACTATCTAGATCTCAAAATTCTGTACACAAGCTCAAAATGTTCAGCCTAGTCTGTACCTCAGATAGAATCAGGCATGATGTGCATATTTAATCAAACAAGGGACAGCACCAAATCTTGATTTAATCTAATAAATAACTAATCGCTACCACATTTACCTCACAAATAATTAAGTATGCTACTGAAAGACAGGAACCATTTTACCTTTTGAACACGTGCTAGCAAGCGGGTGAGATTACTTTTCAAGCTTCGCACATGCTCAAGATTCTTTGTGCTAACATTGATGGCCAGTTCATCCAAAGCAGGGTATGCATCTCTCTCAAGTTCGGCAACACTCGAGTCCAGATATGAGCAGACAACCTCCAGAGCTATTTCCAACACCTGAAACTCAAAAGGAAGTTCATCCTGCACACCTTCAGTGGGCTCGGGACCAGGCAGCCATTGTCCACCAGACGTCGACTTAAGCTCGTTGTTGTTGTTATCCTGAGAGGTAGGGCCTTTCGGAGGTAACTGCCGTCTCAGCTGATCAACAAATGGCAGAACCTCTTGGCGAAGAGGATCCAGCAACAGTACTTCTTCGGCCGTAACTATTGCTCTTATGAATTCCAAGTTCACAATCATTGCTTTCTCCCTAGCTGCAAAAATAAAACCCAACTGATTATTATTTTGTCCCCTAGTTTACTGAATTTCTTAGAGAAATTGAAACCTAGATGATCATGGCATACAGAACGCGATAACTCTTTAACTATAAGTTCATAACAAGCAGACAAATGCTTTCTTAATTGAATGAACAGAAATCAGTAATGCTGTTGAATAGCCATACGATCGGACAAAAAAGTCAGGGGAATTTCAATGGCTGAAATGAAAGCGATGAATGATCGATCAATGATAGGTACCGAGAATGCTGGAGGAATGAGAGAATATGGGTCCGAGGATTCGCAAATCCCTAGCAGGTATGGACACGCGCTTGATGATCACGCTTTTGTCGCATTCGATGAGTTCGGAGTTGCCCCAGCGATCCATCCGCATCCAGAGGCGCGCGCCGCCGGCCTTCTTCTTCGGCGCCACCGCCTTGCTCGTCGTCGCGGCGGCGGCGGCGGATTCGATTGCGTGCAAAGGAGGCGGAGGCAATTGCAATTGGGGCGAGGGCAATTGGGGCGAGGGCGAGGCGACGCCGCTCTTCTTCCGCCGGAATCTCAATTTCGCCATTCCTCACCCCCAAACTTCCCTGCCAAATCTCGCCTCGCCTCGCCTCGCCACGCCTCTCCCTCCTAATTTAGGCGCAGAGAGAAATCTCCTCCTCCGATTCTTCGTTTTCTTCCATATAACACAGGGATAGATTTCTGCGAAATTCCCTGCTGGACACTGAGGGATTTCTCAAGTCCGAAGCAGTGGAGGCCAATTACCCACAAATTCTCCCTTTATCCCTTTTCTTATTCGAATTAGGGTTTGCAGAATTCCAAACTAGTTTCACTTTATAAGTAGCCACGCCACCATTGATGCCCTAAAATAATGGCCACAAAGGAAATTCCAAAAATATTCACTCCTCTCCTCAGAGATCACAACACACAAAATGACAAATCAATCAATCACGATCGATCAACCCTAATCCCAGGGCGGGCGGATGCAGGATTAGGCATGGTGCTCAATTGCTCCATAAAAATAATTTAAAAATAATACTAATTATCATAAAATTATAAATATATCTTTAAATATTAATTTTATTTTTATTTTATAAATCAATTTGGATCCACCAAGGATGCGTTTGTTTGGAGGTTTGAATTTTAAATTTTGAATTGAAATTTAAATAGTAAAAATTTTGAATTTAAATAATTATATAATGTGATATAAACAGGTGTTTGATTTGATGTTTTGAATGTAAAATTGATTTTTAGTATAATATAAAAAATAAAAAATAGGTGTTTGATTAGATGTTTTTGGAGGAAAAAAATTGGATGAATAGTGTAAATCCAATCCAATCCCCAAACAAACACACCCCAAAAGAATTATTGATGTCTTAGTTTTTCTCTCTAATTGACTTTTCTCTTTTAATAAAAAGATCTTGCATAATTATATTCTACAGAATTGTCAAAAACAAAATTGATGATTTTTGAATTATTATTAAGTAATTTATTTTGATGTATAAGCGATTATTAATTTCAAATTTGATATTTTTTTAATATAAATTTTTATTGATATATTTATTTATTTTAATTTTAATTTAATTATATTAATTTATCGACAAAACAATATAGGATCAAATCCTCCTTTCTTTCTTCCTTTCCTAGAACGAGTGTGACTGTTGGCGTGGTTGTTAACTGAGGGAGAATCGTCAGCGTCGCCAAGTCCATGAGAGGAGCAGTAATATAGACTCCATTGTTAACTGTAAATGCTAAAATTAAACAGGGAAAAAGTACAATAGAGTGACGTACTTTACATTGCCATGCATATAATTTTTATTTTTTCTTGAAAAAAAATAAAAAATCTTAATAAATAGGTTATTTTGTATAAATATCAGATTTAGTCGCAGATATTACAAATTGCAAATTATTTTATACTACTACTATCTTTCTAATAAAATAAATAGATATATTATGCAATATATCCTAGATATGATGATACTGTAATAATACATTTAGAAATATATCATTTTCAAAATATTTAGATATAGCAATATTTAATAGATATAAATTTATCTACTGTTTGGATGTGATTTCAATTTAAATAATCTAATATTAGTTCCATCCCAAAAGTATAATCTTACTATGTTTGACACAAAATTTAAAGAATATTGATATTATATTGATAGTCGGTAAAAAGTAAAGATAAAATGACTTTTTTGCCCCCTTGAGTATATTAGTGTAAAAAGTAGTGACAATTGTGTAATAATAATAAAAAAGTATGAATACTTTTACGGTGAAATGGTATTTATAGAAATGAGATTATTGTTTCGGGACGGATTGATAAATATTACTATTGCATTGGGACTGAGGGAATATTATATTTTCAAATAAAAAATTAATATCATCTTTTTGGCCTTTAGAATTAAAAAATATTTTTAAAGTAAATTATTATTATTAAATATATTAAAATTTAATTTAAATTTTATCTTTTTTTATAATTACACAATCCAACTCTAATTCTAATAAACCTAACAAAAAAAAAATTCTAAAACTTTCTAAAATTAATCTCACATCCAATTTTAATTCTAATAAACTCTAACTAGATTTTCTCTAAAATTAATCTTATTATATTCTACTATTGTGTTATTGGTTTTATAATAGTCAAGATATTATTAAATTTTATAATAGTCAACGTATGTATCACAAACTAGACCCGATAGTCCACCCTCATAGTAAGTCATCTCTTACATGACACATATTTAATTTATTGTATATATATATAATTAATATAATTTTTACTTTTGTGAAATTTATTATTATATGTTTCGTTGATAACATTTTAAAAAAATTACTTCATCCGTTGTCTTATTTTTCTATTTTCGTCCGCATGTTTCCTTATATAGTAACGGTGATATCCACTTTATAACAAAATTATTTTTACTTTTTCAAACTACCGTTGATTATTACTGTAACAATACTTTTTAAAATCTATTTTAGTCTTTTACATTCTACTTTATACCCACTTTTAATTAAATATTATTATTTGCGTCAACTCCGAACAAGACCTATTATTTATTTTTTGCTCAGGCCCTAAAAAAATTTGAGAGGCCCTGTTGACGTTGTCGATAGATGGACAAGGATTCGATGTACATTGTAATGCATGAAAACAAAAATTAGATTGTGTGTTGATGTAAGATGGAAAGATAACTAGTCACCATGAATATTAACCTGTATAGGTTGTTCTAAGCCAAATTCACCTTTACCTTCCAGTGGGCGAGAAGGTTGTGTTAATTCATGCGTCCTTTTAGCTAATATCGACACGAATTAAGTGTTTTTAGCAACATTGTCTAAACATTGGTGTGTTTGTTTTGTGAAAATGTTAAAAAAGAAAAATAATGTAAGATATAAGGAATCGGGAATATAAAAATAATAAATATGTGCAGTATATTAATATTTTTTAGAAAATATAAGACAAAAGTAGTTAAAAGAACAAAGCCATGGCTACTAAATTTTTTTATAACTTATAAAATTCTTCTGTCAAATCCTAATCAACGACGGACTATTAGGGAAAAAAAAAAGAATTAAAGCACAACAATCTGCGTATTAAATGTGATAATATACTTCACTAAAATTGGGCTATATACAATTATTAATTGCCTTTAATAAATTAGATTAATGTGATTGATTTTTTAACAATCAACAATATGGTGCTAAATAAATTTATTCAGTATTGTGCTTGACATCACATGAATTATAAATACACAATACAAAGATACATATAATACTAATATAAATACGAATGCAATATGACAAACACAACCTATAAACTCAACATATAAAATATATTCATGCTATCACTCTAAATATGCAGTTACGGTAATTTTACTCCAATCATAACTTCATTTTTCACTATTATTATTCAATTTTTCATATTATTTTAAACAATTTTTTATTTTTATAATTTAAAATAAATTTTAAAATTAAAATTAAAAAAATAAAAAAAGTAAAATATATATACCCATTGGCTCTGGGTTGGAGATGCTCTTAGAAACTGTACATAATTTCAGTTAACACAATCATGTATTGTCTGTCTTTTTCTATTAGCCTATTCATGAGCACACTAACCAAATCTTACAAGTACCATATATCAATTAAAACAAGGCAAATGCAAGTCCATTAATTTGGAATTTCCATTGAATGTGGTTAATCTAAACAGAGAAGTATAAGATGAGGATATCTATCCCAGCCTCAATTTTAATTACACAGAAAATATTTTCTTAAAATCATACCTGGAGATTTCACTTGTAGAAGAAGGCTAGCCCAGCTGAGTAGTTTACAGTTCAAAAACACAAAGACGAAAATTCATCCGATCCGATCCATATCCATATCCGCCACAAACAAAGAGCACAGAATCTCGTACAAATTCTGCTGTCGATCGTCTAATTAACCACAGGTAAACCTAAATATAATCCCCAAGAAGCAGAACTATGTGCAAGAAAAAAAAGAACACATTTAAACGATCATACTCCCTTCCAGCTTCAGATGACGATAAGAATATTAATGAAATTAATGGGGAGAGCTCTGTATACGACGGCATGATCATTGGGGAACGGAGAAAATCAAGTATCCGTTGTCCCAGCGAACTCTGATCTCTCGCCCAACTTGGAGCCTCTTTTCTCTGATGATTTTACCCCATTTACCGATCAGATTGTAATAACTTCCACGCCATTTTAATTTCATCACATAAATTTCACCTGTATCATCGTCCCGGGCATTGATGCTAACTTGGAGATCGTTCCTCAGTTGCTCCCGGCCTTGGTGTGTCCAGTAGACGAGGATATGATCTTCTACAGCTTTTCCCGGCAATGTGAGGAACGGGTGATTGGTGTCCACGTCCGACAATGTAAGGGCTTTCTTAATTGGCCAGTCATCATAACCAGATGCAGCTGCAACATAACGTTCCTCGGGAACTGAGAAGCACAAGCAATTATTAGTCCACCGTATTCTGATTTCTTGCCCAACCCCGAGTCCTTTATGTCTGATAATATTCCCCCATTTCCCTATGAGGTTGTAGTAATTTCCCCGCCACTTCAATTTCATTCCATGAGTCTCGCCAGTATCAAAATCTAAAGCATTTATCGACACGTGCTCTTCTTTTCTCAATCTTTCCCTTTCTTGCGGCGGCCAGTGCACCAGAATATGCTCTTCGACAGACTTACGGGGCAGGGGAAGAAAGGGGTGGTTAGGATCGACATCGGATGATGTCAAGACTTTTCTAATTGGCCAGTGGTCTAGCACCAATGGTGCAGCAACCATTCGGACAGGAGGAACCGGAACAGGAAGAATCAGCTGCTGAGGAACTGAAAAGTGCAGACAACCATTAAACCAGCGGAGCCTGATTTCCTGCCCGACATCTAGTCCCTTTCCACGGACAACTTTTCCCCACTTCCCAATGAGATTGTAATAGCTTCCGCGCCACTTTAATTTCATTAAATACATCTCACCCGTATCGTCATCCTGAGCATTAAGGCCCACTTGGCCATCAGATCTCAAATGTTCCTGCTGCTGGGGTGTCATGTACATTACAATATGAGATTCAACTTGTTGCCTCGACAACGTCAGGAAAGGATGGGTGATATCAACATCAGAGAGTGTGAGTGCTTTTTTGATAGGCCACTGATCCTGCACTTGAGGAACAGCACCAAAATATGCCGCCCTCTTCATTCCTAGAACACAAATATAACAAGAGCTGTAAGATATTTAACCATCAAGATTATTATAAAAATACAAATTGAGATATTCTGAGAACTAACAGCAAAAATGAGGAAAGAAGTCTCTAGTAAAATCAGAATAGACGTATGAAATATGTGTGACCCCCAAGTCCATACAGTGCGTTCTATAATAGCATTGATAGTGTTCAAGCACCTACTAGATACTTTGGGAAATAGCCCCAGGGTTAGGAAGGAACTATGGTAAAAGTTTACTTTTTTTGTTCATGCTCAAGAGCTGTATACATGCATCCCTTCTTCCTTCTTTTCGGGCAGTGTATTTAGGAGTGATCTTCAAGTTCCTTAAGTCCAATGGTGTGTTACTTGCATTAACAGCACTCAAATAGCAACAAAGACAGACAATATTGGACACAGAGGTAGTAACAAATCCCAACTAAGATGTTTCGAGAAATAGCATCCATAATATGGCAGACAAATTCTATTTCTGTTCATGCTAAAAATGCTGTTGTACATCAGTGACCCTCGAGTTTCTCAAGTTCATTAGTTGCATTGATAGCGCTTAATTTGCATACCAAAAAAGACAGAAAAATTCTGCACATGGTAAAAATGGCGAAAACCAATTAAGATACTTCTAGAAGCAGACACTAGGATAAGGCAGGAACTTTAGCAACAATCGCACATTTATTTTAGTTCATGCTCGGTTGCTCAGTTCACATGCAACGCTTAAGTTCCTTACAGTCTGCATTACTTGTATCAATGGCACAGATATTTATAACAGTAACAAGTTTGGCATTGGACACCGATGAACGTGGTAACAAAATCCAGTTTAGATACTTTTAAGGAAAACCAGCAAGGTTACAAATTACGAAAGGAACTCTAGTAAAAGTTGTGAATTTATTTTATTCTGTGCTCAATAGTTGTAGTACACGTGGGATTCTCAAATTCTTCTATACAATGAGCATTACTTCCATTGGTGGTGCACAATGCTTATACTAATAAAGTCAGATAGCTTTGGCTATTGGAAACCGACAAACATAGTAGCAAAACTCAATCAAGATACAAAGTAAATGTATATTAGTTCATGCTCAACAGCTATCGTCCACGTGTGACCCAAAAGTTCTATGAGACAAAGTGTATTAGTTGCATTTATCACACGCCGACAATCATGATAAGAATATCTAAATATACAAACCATTTTTACTCTTATGAATGCTTATGGAATTTATCAAATTCCAGAAGCCTATAACGGAATAGCTAACAAACCAATACTAGTTTAAATATTAACTACTTATAATGTATGAACTTCAGAACTGATATATAAAAATCATCAAAGCACCTTAAGTGTATATATCAAGCTTTGAGCAATTTAGTGCCCAAAGAAGGGTCGAGACACACTTGAAGGTGATGAAACAAGGTCAACAGAAATCAACAAGAGTACAAACTACATATCATCCAAAATATTAGCTTCGCAATAGGAGAGGGTTCAGAAGCCCAAATCTTCTGTTACATCACATAAAAACTTATTAGAACATTGGAAGGGAAAATGAAAATTAGGATCTCAAAGCACAAATTAAAACCCTAGAAAGACAGGCAACAGCAAGGGACAATTTCCAAAGCGACATAATCAAGCGAATACACAATGCAATCCAACTCCTTGATTGCACATCCAATTTTGACCTTTTCACCATTCATCTCAACATAATTAAATCAAAATATCTTACCTAAGCTAGGAGATCCCCTACACTTGATTTCGGATGATCGAAACCTAGATCCTCGCAAGCTCAGGGAAATGGAAGTTATCGCGACGCTGCAAAATCCCTGACAATCTCACCAAAAGAGTACCAAGATTGTTTGGCCGATTTACAAACTGATTACCGGCGGATAAATTATAAATTAAAAGAGTTCACCGGCGGCGGCGGAGGCGGTGGCGCATGATGGCTGGGGAAGGGACGCGCGCAGGCGGAGGAGCCGAAGGGGAAAATCAGACAATTGCCTCTGACAGATATGCAAGCAATATTAAATACTATAATTTTATTCATTTAAGACATATAGGTTATATCGAAAGTTTTCAATTTATTATTTTGTTTTTACTATTTATTTAAAATGGAGTATATAAATGATTTAGATTTTATTTAAATATTCATAAATAATTATAAAATAATTAAAAACTAACATGATGGTAATATCCTGTTTTCTTTCTTATTTATTATATTCTATTTTTATATTAAAATATATTTTTTTTTTTAATTTGCATACATTTAAAAAGTTGCATAAATATTCTAAATAGAGAAAATAATATATATTGTATTAAAAATAAATTTAAATATGTTTTGAATATTTTAAACATAACTTTAATAAATTATTAATCATATTCATATTAATGTTAAAGTAAAATATACTTCCTAAGTAATTAATAATAATTATTATTTAAATAAAATATAATTAGTAAGTAATTAATAGTTATATTGGTAAAAATAATTATTGTATAATAAAAATAATTATAAATTAAGATTAAAAAAATTATAAATGATAAATTTCAAAATATGATAAAGTGTATAATTATATTCAGAAAAATAACAAATCGTGTGAGATGGACCAAAATAATAAAAAAAAAAAATTAACAATTTGTATGGAATGGAGAAAGTATGAAATAGTTTATGAAAAATAAAGAATTTTAAATGAGATATATTTGTTTACTTAGGAAAAAAAAAACTGAAAATAAGAGATTTACAGTGAGTGTATGTTTTTATTAATACTATTAAAAAATAAGAGATTTACAATGAGTGTATATTTTTATTAATACTACTCCCTCAGTTCCAACCAATATGCAATATTTTCTTTTTTATGTCTCAAACATCTGCAATATTTGAAATAATTAACTATAGTTAATCTCTACCCCACACTTTATCCTCTCACATCATTCAAATAAAAAAATAAAATATACATTTATTTCTCCATCACATCACCTATTTCTAAACTATCCTACTTAATACTACACACCTAAAAACTTGTGCCAAAAGCAAATGTTGCACATTGTTTGAAACGGAAGAAGTATTAAATATATAATACATTATTTTTGTCATTCAAATTAATGCTCATTTTATTAGATTATTGTAAAAAATATTTATGTTTTTAAAAATAAAAGAATATCACTTTTATATTTTTACTAAAAAAAATAAAATTATTATTACTCATTTTTTGTTAATTTATATTCAACCAAATAGGTATATTTTTTGTAAAAAAAAAAAAAAGTATATTTTATCACTCCAACAAATTAATAATTCAACCAAAATATGATAGATAAATAAAGTTGTTTATTTAGCTAACAAAGAAAAAAGCTACATACTTTTAGTTTACAGATGAATATTATTTAGTATTTTCTTTGTCCAGTAGGGGTGGAAATAGCCATCTAGGACTTTGGCTAAATAGATCTAGCTTGTTTTGAAAATATTTGACCTAAGTCTGGCCTCTGGCTTGAAAAAAAATTTAAAAAACTTGAATAGGTCTTTCTAAAAGTCTGACCTGGCCGGTAAGTCTATTTAAAAGATTATATAATATTTTTGTTTATTTATTTGTAAATTAAGTATTAGAAATAAAAAATAAAGTACAGACAATTATTTTATATATATATAAATTTAAAATTCTATTTTTTATAATAAATTTATAATTAAAATTATTTAATAAATATTATTATTAGATAAAAAGTTATTTTGAATATATAATAATAATAAATATATTTTATAAAATAATAATAATAACAAATAGACGGGTCTGTTTAGCTTTTTTTTTTAAGCCTAAATCTGTTCTATTTAAATAAAAAAGCTTTTAAAATTTTCTTGACTTGCTCTTTTTATTAAATAGTACACGTGAGGCAGGCCGTAAGCCTCTGACAGGCGACCTGGCCTATTCCCATCTTTACTGTCCAGTTAATTTGTTTTATTTAGTTTAGGCACATTGTTTTATATATTGCACAATTATCAAGTTATTAAGAAGTATATTAGATAAAATAATTCTAATTTAATAAAAATAATTATAAATTAAGATTTAATTGACTAAATAGTTTGGTTATAATAAAAAAAAAATTATAAATTATAAATTTCAAAATATGATTAAAGTGTATAATTATATATTTTTTTAAAAAAATAATAATAAATTATGTGTAACAAATAAAAATAAAAAAAATTGACAAATTAAATAAGACTGAAAGAGTAATAATTATAGGAAATTGTACTACCAAAAAACTTGTTTAATAAATTATTACTCCCTCCGTCCATTCTCATGCCCACATTTCAATTTTTGTTCGTCCCACTTATTTTGTCACTTTTTTTAAAAAATAATTATACACTTTAATCTTATTTTTAAAAAATTAATTTATAATTTTTTTAATTTTAATTATATTAATCAATTATATTAATCTTAATCTATGATTATTTTTATTATACGATAATTATTTTTACTAATATATTTTTAATTATTTACTAATTATACCCATCACAAATTCTCGTGTCTACAATAACGCGGACAAAATATCCAGGATATTACACAAACTCAAATCATTAGCTCGTATTATACAAATTCAAACCAAACAAACCTTTGTATCCAGAAATATATTACCCCTCCCTATGTCTAGAATAATGTATTCTTTTCGCCGGCCAAAATTATGTAACTATTTAGTTTTTGATATTTCCTTAAATTTGTGTTTCACTAAACAACTTTATAAACTCGTAATTTTATTTCTATTATTTTACGAAATAATAAATAATTTTTCACCACTTTTTTACTTACCCTAATGTTTCCATCAATTATTTACTATTTTTTTTGTAATATTATGTACTCTAACATTAAAATATTACTCCATTCGACTCATATACCATGTCCACGTTGCCGTTTCTGCGTTCTACGTACTATGTCACTTTCTTTTTTTGGAAAATGATTACACACTTTAATCTCATTTTAAATTTTTAAATTTTATTTTTTTAATTTTAATTAAACTAATTAGTTATCTTAATCTTAATTTATAATTATTTATATTATAGGATAATTATTTTCACTAATATATTCTTAATTATCTACTAATTACACCCCTCCTAAAATACCGTGTTTACAGTGTAGCAGACACGGTATCTAAGACGGAGGGAGTACTATTTTTTTTTTATAGTCATATCCAATCAAACTTACATAATTTACTAGATGGAGTAATTTTTTGTTTTTGATATTTTTTCATTTCGATTAATCAAATCGAATATATTTATATAATTTTAAAATTTATATTAATAATTTTATTCCGTTTAAATATCAAATATCTGCATATTTTCAAATAATCGAAGTATGTCCACTCTTAAATTGAGTTTGTTCATCCAATATATTTTTTATGGCACCTTTCTATAAATATTATAAAATATAATATATACTTTATTTATTCACAAAAATCAACAATTTAATATAAAATATTATTTTTATATTATTAATACAATTTATTGTACATTTGAAAAAAAATATATATATATTCAAAAATTAGAAGTGAATAAACTAAATTTTATCTTATTTGATTGTTCCCCACATATATATCTACTTTGTTTTTATTACTCTTGTAAACAATTCTCTTATGTATTTATAAAAATATCACTCAATAAATTTCTAAAAAAAAATTATAAGTCAAACGATATTTTGGTCTTTTCATTAAATACAACTATTTTTATTAATAAAATATTACTCACTCCGTCTCAAATACCGTGTCTGCTACACTGTAGACACCGTATTTTAGGAGAGGTATAATTAGTAGATAATTAAAAATGTATTAGTGAAAATTATTATTATATAATATAAATAATTATAAATTAAGATTAAGATAACTAATTAGTTTAATTAAAATTAAAAAAAATTAAAAATTTAAAATAAAATTAAAGTGTATAATCATTTTCCAAAAAGGAAAGTGACATAGTATGTGGGACGGACAGAAACGGCAACGTGGACATGGTATCCGGCACGAAGGGAGTACTATTTTTAAAATTTAATGCAAAAACCAATAAATACTTTCTTCCCAGCCGAAGCAATTGAGAATAATTTTTTATAAACTTTGAGAAGAATAATAATTGAATTTTTTAGTTTATTTTATTATTTTTTTAAGGTGGTGTGGCATGAAGTTATGTAGAGAGAAGATCCTGTGTTTTTGTTTGCAAAATTTTATTGGATTTTTACTAAAAAATAAAAAATATCAAATCAATTTTTTTTTATTTTTTATATTATATTAAAATTAAATTTTATATTCAAATATCATATCAATACTTTTTTTATATCATATCAATATTTTTTTTATATCACATATTCACATTATACAATTATTTCAATTCAATTTTTTTTTATTCGAAATCTCAACTAAATATTCAAATACTCAAACAGATAATAGAAAGAAATGATTTTTATTTTTTTTTTTTCATTTGCACCGTGACCTCAATGTTTTAAAGTGAAATCATTTTTATGGTGTGTTGTCTGGGGTTTGGATTTTGAGTTGAGATTTGAACAGTAAAATTTTGAATTTGAATAATTGTATGATGTGATATAAATAGGTGTTAATGTAATATTTTGAATGTAAAATTGATTTTTAGTATAATATAAAAAATAAAAAATAAAAAATAAAAAATAGGTGTTTGATTTAATAGTTTTGGAGGAAAAAAATAAGATGAATAGTGGATATAAAATCCAATCCCCAGACAAACACACCCTTCAAAAATATTAAAAAAAGTATCATATATATATATATATATAACAAGAACAATGTATAAAAACATATAGCTAAAAATATAGAAAATTTTATTTCTTTTATAATATTTTTCATACTTCATGATGAAAATATCTTAAACTATAAATACAAGAACATTCAATCTTAATTTAAAAGGGGAAAAAAAAAAAGTTGGAATGGAAGGCCACCCAACATCCAAACACGCCCTAATGTATTTTATTATTATTATTATTTTGACATAAACATGCATGTGTGTGCATGTGTGGGTGTGCTTAAGCAAGCCCTAAACAATTTTTAATTAATTTAATTTAATTTAATAAAAAAGAAGTAAATGAAATGAAAAAAGGAAGCATGTGCATTGGGTTTAGGTCAAGGAAAGGAAGGTTCCCCCGTTTCCTGCTCGATCCATCTTCTCTTCCTCTGCAACTCATAGATATATATATATATATACACACACTAGGTACTACTGACTCCATGGAAGAATTCCTTGGAAGTGAAGAAGCTAATAAGGAAGAAATACAACAAGCTGTAGCAGGTAAGACTAAGGTAGGAAGAAGATGGGGGAAGAAGAGGTTGGAATAATTAGGGAAGGGAGGTCATTGGAGGTGACTCCAACTTGGTCTGTTGCTACTGTCACCACTGTTATGGTCTTTCTCTGTCTCTTTCTTCAGAGATCCATTTACAAGCTCGCCAAGGTAACCCCTAACCAACGAATTCCCATTCTCATTCACTCGTTCTCACTAATTAATTACATTTGCATTTACATTTACATTTTACAGTGGCTGAAGAAGACAAAGAGGAAAGCCCTCTGGGCTTCTCTCGAGAGGATCAAAGAAGGTATCTACAATTTACAATTTACAAACACACGCATTGTTCTGTTCCATTCGATTCAACTCATTTGATTTCAATTTATGGATGATGATGGTTAGAGCTGATGCTGTTGGGGCTGATATCGTTGATGCTGGGGCAATGGGCGAGATGGATTTCTCAAATATGCGTCAAATCCTCCCTCTTCACCACCAGATTCTACATCTGCTCCCAACATGACTACCCCTACCCCCACTCCCAAACCAAATATTCTCGAATCTTGACCTCCATCTCCAATGGATCTCGTGCTGATAAAGCCATTGTCACTTTCTCCCACGCCTGTGGCGAGGTAATTAATTAATTATTTCATTGGTATACAGTAGTAATTAATTAAGCAAATCGAGCTTCTTAATTATGGAGTATATGATTGGTAATGGTAATGTCTCTGTTAGGGGCGAGAGCCTTTTGTGTCTGCAGAAGGGCTGGAGCAGCTCCACCGGTTCTTGTTCGTCCTGGGCATCACTCATGTCCTCTACAGCTGTATCGCCGTCGCCTTAGCCATGACCAAGGCACGCGCACCCATCACATACTCGATACATACATATATATTTCTCGACAATTTGAGAATTCATGTTCTGGTTTGCAGATATACAGCTGGAGGAAATGGGAGGTTCAGGCCTGTGCCGCGGCCGAGGCGAGCTCCCACGGTAAAAACAATGATGCCATTTACATTCAAGGTTTGTTTTCGACTATAGTTTGGATAACTTAATCGTAGCTCGTTTATCAGCGAAGAACAGGGTGATGAGACGACAGACAACTTTCGCATTGCACCACGCTTCACACCCGTGGAGCCACAGTCGAATCCTCATCTGGATGGTAAAACTATACATACATCCATATATATATATATGTATAGATATATGTATACGTAGAAATCAACTATATTTCGACACCATTTATACAGTCTCTGTTACATTACATTCTGCAGCTCTGCTTTCTCAAGCAGTTCCGAAGTTCGGTGCACAAGTCCGACTACATGGCGCTTCGATCGGGCTTTATCGCCGTGAGTACTCGTTCGTCGAACCTTAAAATTCTTACACGCTTCACTAACACAAGAAATGTTATCGCAGAATCACAAGCTGCACGCGTCCTACGATTTTCACAAATATATGGTTCGGAGCATGGAGGATGAGTTTTACGCCATCGTTGGGATCAGGTACCTTCGAGAAATCGACCTACCATTTCCATGACCACGTCAAGCGATTCGAGCTGTAGTAACTTATGTTCGACGCTTTTGCAGCTGGCCTCTGTGGGGATATGCGATACTCTGCATCTTCATAAACATTCACGGTGTGCGAGCATTCGATTTGAATTCTTTTGCGTTTTTGTGTTCGCCTATAATGTTGGGATCGATGTCGATGCAGGTCTTAATATATACTTCTGGCTGTCGTTCATACCGGCTATTGTAAGTGTCGATGAAATTAAATTCGTCTATAATGTCGTCGATAATGAAATTTATAACGAATCTCTCGTTTTGAAGCTCGTCTTGTTGGTGGGGACGAAGCTGCAGCATGTCGTCTCGTTGCTGGCGCTCGAGATGACAGAGCAGCGCGGTGCTTCCAATGGGACTCAGGTGAAGCCGAGCGACGATCTGTTTTGGTTCGGGAAACCCGAGATCTTACTACGCCTCATACAGTTCATATCGTTTCAGGTTGTTTATGCTTAGTTCGTATCGTTCTTCGATTCGATTAGATTTGATTTGATCGTCGTCGAGTTAATCCTTGGGATGTTGTGATGCAGAATGCATTCGAAATGGCGACGTTTACGTGGTCTTTGGTGAGACAGATCGATCGATTCGATCTTCTTTTCGCCTAATTTACGACGTCGCTTACTGATTCGATTTCGCATTTCGTCGAGTGATTTTTGCAGTGGGGATTGCAGCACCGGTCGTGTTTCATGAGAAACCATGCGATGATCATCATTCGTTTGATTTCTGGGTACGTTAATTTCGATCGAGCCATGGAATCGAAGATCGTGTTTTTCGCTGCCAATCGATTAGTATTTTGTTACATGGATGGATTGCAGGGTTGTGGTTCAGTTCTGGTGCAGCTACAGCACGGTCCCGTTGAACGTCCTCGTAACGACGGTCGGTAACTCGCTCGACGATGATCGCAAGCGTGTCGTAATTTCTTACATTTTCGATGATCAAGATAACGATAATGACGGATAAATTTTGAATTCGCGTATGCATTTTAGATGGGATCGCGGTGTAAGAAGGCGTTGATTGCGGAGAGTGTGAGAGAATCGCTTCACAGCTGGTGCAAGCGGGTGAAGGCACGGTCGAAGGCGACGAATTCTATTACGACGAGGTCGACGTGCTCGTTGGAATCGACGATCGACGAGAGGGACGAGACCGTCTCGGCTACATTGTCGCCTTGCTCGTCGGCGCGCTCCTCGTGCCGTTTCGATGGAGGTAGAGACCCGGAATGCGGGATCAAAAGCGGCGATCACGAGCACGAGCACGAACAAAACGAGGCTAATCAAGAAGTGTTGTCTGAAACAAGACAAAATGAAGCAGAAGAGGAGAAGCCTGCTGAAACACTTCTTCAGCTCTTTCACAGGACATAAATCGTACTAATAATACTTGTTACAAATTCAAAATACGCTCTTCACTTTTCTTTTTCTGTCTCTCATATTTCTATTTTTTTTTTTATTTTTTTAAAATAATCATATATTAATAGTAAAATATTTTTAATTTTTATCTAAATTATAAAGATACAACTATTTAGTATAAAAATATCAAAAATTCCTATAAATTTCTATTAATTAATAATATATATATATATTTTTACTTATTACAAAATAAAAAAAAATAAAAAAAACCCCTTTAATTAATACCAAAGAAGTATATATCAGTATTATGGCAAATATAACATAATGCTCTCACTTTGAACTTCTTGAATTACATACACTCACTCACTCACTCAAATGAATGCTAGTTAGAGCATTTATTATGTTTATACATCTACCTAAATAAAAGTACATATATTTATATTTATATTTATATTAAAATTACTTAAAATAAAATTTTATATAATAAAAAAACATAATAAATAAATAATATGTTATAAAAATATACAAAATAATAAAAGTACATATTCTTGGAGTGGTTTCTGCAAAGCAATTAGAAAACAAAAATTATTTTACTTTTTCAATAAAAATATATTCCCTTCGTCCACTTACAATTTTATATTTATTTTTAGCACGGTATTTAAAAAATAATAATATTTAATAAAATATTAACTTTGTAATTGAACGTTCCAAAGTAAAAATATGTAAATATTATAAGTGGACGGAAGGAATATAAAATAATATTTTTAGCCCATCTTAATTGTTAATTTTTTTGTAAAAATATAAAAATTTAAGCAAATATATAATTAGTAAATAATTTAAAAAATATAATTATTATATAATACAAATAATTAATTAATATAATTTAATATAAATTATAAATTCAAAGATTAAAATATACATTTATTTTTTTTAAAAGAAAAATACGTGGACATACGAAAATGGACAAATAATGTTGAATATATCACACGTAATGAATAAGTTTTTTTAAAAAAACAAATGAGTCATTAATTATATCAAAGTTAATAATTGAGATATGATTCGATAATATTGAATTGTACTTTAATGCGCGGGAGGATGAAACGTACTTTTCGTAAATAGAAAAGGCGCTGTAAGCTGAAACGCGACTTTAGCTTTGCGTATAATTTGGAGTGGAAGGCCCAATGGGCCGGAAACTAGGCTCGGCCCGAAATCGAGTCAAAAATTCAAACAAGTTCAACAATTGCGGCTGAAGTTTTCCCATTTTTTGAGAATGCTTGTTCATGAATAAGGCGCAATTTCACCTCACTGCTTTGAATCGATAAACAAATCTCTGCTGCTGCTCGCTCTGGATTGTCGTCTTCATCCAATCAATTCAATATTTTGATGTTTAAAATCTCTAATTAAAATTTGATCGGCTGGTTGTGTTTTATCTGCAAATCCACTTGTTGAATTCAGAGCATATCTGAATGTTTTCTTCTCGAATTGTTCCTTTGTTTCACTCTGTAAATTGATCACTTCGGTCTTTTATAATCTGTATCTCTGGCTTTCATCTTTAATTTTTGGGGATTTTGCTCATAGTATGTTGATCGCAGCTTAGATCTCTGTTTAGCTCCGGAATTCGTTTTCTGATCTGGAAATTCCGCGATTGAGCTGCAGCAGTGTGCTAAACTGAGCTCAATTTCGCCCAAATTTGTTGAGATTAGGGTTTGGGTTTTGAAAGATCAATATCTGAGATTGTGCTTGGGAAAAGGGGCGACATGGATAAATACGAGCTGGTGAAGGACATAGGGTCTGGAAATTTTGGTGTGGCGAGGCTTATGAGGGATAAGGAGACTAAAGCCTATGTTGCCATGAAATACATTGAAAGAGGACCCAAGGTTCGCTCTATATGTATCTTCACCTGAAGTTCGATATTCCTTCCGCCACTTGAACTCTCTCTGTATTTGTTTGATTTGTTCCATTTGGAAATTTAGGCATATTTGCAGTGATTCAGCATTAATCTTCTTTTAGTTGTTTGTAGAAATTGTGATCTGTGGCGTTTTAATTACTATGCAAATGAGTTTCAATGTTGGGGTTTTGGATTTTGGGTGCAGATTGATGAGAATGTGGCTCGAGAAATCATAAATCATAGGTCGCTCCGACATCCTAATATTATTAGATTCAAGGAGGTAAGTGCCATGATCCTTGAAGAAATGCTATTATTAGTTGTTTTTGGTGTAGATCAGAGTGGAAATCTTTTAATGTGGTCTTGAAATCGATAGGTGGTTCTAACGCCGACTCATCTAGCTATTGTGATGGAATATGCTGCCGGAGGAGAGCTCTTTGAGAGAATCTGCAGCGCCGGACGATTCAGCGAAGATGAGGTAAAGAATCAGTTACCTATGGAGTATTAGTTACCATTTGATTTTGTAATATTGTATTCAAAATCAGAAGTATTCGTTAATGTGAAATCGCGGCTTTGGATGGTTTTGGAAATGCTTCGAAAATTTTAACTCCAATAGGATTAAGACAAATAGATTGAAACTTACTTGTCATTCCATTTTTACCGAATGCCCTTATGTATTTGTCATATTATAGGCGAGGTACTTCTTTCAGCAGCTGATTTCAGGGGTCGACTACTGCCACTTCATGGTGAGGGGACTTAGATTTCGAGTGACCATTATTTTATATAATGCAAGAAAGACTACCGGTATCATAAATATGTCGGGTTATATTTTGTTTTCAGCAAATATGCCATCGCGATTTAAAGTTAGAGAACACTCTACTAGATGGTAGCCCCGCGCCATGCCTGAAAATATGCGATTTTGGTTACTCCAAGGTAATAATAAACTGTTATATACGAAATTCATATATTGTTGAGTTTTTAGTACGAGGCGACTATAAACATACTGAGTTGTTTTCCCCATTGTTAGTCATCATTGCTTCACTCGAGGCCGAAATCAACGGTCGGAACTCCTGCTTATATAGCTCCTGAGGTTCTGTCTAGAAAAGAATACGATGGGAAGGTAAATGATCGTTCCCATTGTCTTGGACATTATTGAATTTTCAGATATGTGAATTTTGAAATATGTTTCATTGCATCACAAACTAAATTCAAGGTGATTACCGTATTATTCGCCCCTCCCTTTTATACAAAAATGAACATACGGGATTAAATTTGTTCGAGAACTAATAATTACTGCTTCAACTCTGCAATCTTTAGTTATTTATGCTGTGTTTTCTCTCAGCTGGCTGATGTATGGTCATGTGGTGTGACACTATATGTAATGTTGGTTGGAGCATATCCTTTCGAAGATCCTTCGGATCCGAGAAACTTCCGGAAGACTATCCAAGTAAGCTGTTTCGTGTAGAACCTTTTAAATTCACCACGCCCTGTCGCAAACCTATAAATTATAATCGATGTATTGTCTTTGATAAAATTTTCCAGAGGATAATGGCTGTTCAGTACAAGATCCCCGACTACGTCCATATCTCTCAAGAGTGCAAAGACCTTCTCTCTCGAATATTTGTCGCCAATTCGTCTAAGGTGAGTGCAACCATGTTTAACCATTTCGTCTGTATTTTATTCCCTACAAAATGATCGATCATACTCATTATACGATAGCATAAAAAATTTCATATTTCTGTTGCGCACAAACTCCTACTTACGACGTTCAAATAATTATTATATCAGCTGCAGAGAATCACAATCAAGGAAATCAAGTCGCACCCGTGGTTTCTGAAGAATCTGCCGAGAGAATTAACAGATGCAGCTCAAGCAGTGTATTATCGTAAAGAAAATCCGACATATTCCCTCCAATCTGTGGACGAGATAATGAAGATCGTGGAAGAGGCTAAAATCCCCGCCCAAGCATCGAGCTTGGTTGGGGGATTCGGGTGGGGAGGCGAAGGGGAGGATGATATTAAGGAAGAGGAAGTCGAAGAAGACGAAGAAGATGAGTATGAAAAGCAAGTGAAGGCTGCTCATGCAAGCGGCGAGGTTCGTCCCGCCTGAGGCCTACCGGTATCGGTATCGTATCGAACTTTTTTCTTTATTTATTATTTTTTTTTTAAAAAAAAGAAAATTATGTTTCATTGTTTGTTATGTGGTGTGTGTAATTAATTAGACAATGTTTTGGCATTTGGTTGTTTAGGAGGCATATTTGTGTGTTGGCTATATTTACATGGATGGGTATGTTTTTGTGTACATTATGAGCAATGTCTTTACCTTTTTACTTGGCAAGATCTGTCAGTTATTTGAAATGAAGTGTTTGATTTAATATGATTTATTTTTTTATGAAAATAATTGGTATTTTTCTGTAAGGTTAAATTAATTCTCATTTTTTAAAAATCTTTATGTTAAATTAATAATTTTGGAAAAGTCAATAAAATAATATTTCATGTCCCTTGATAATTTATCTATTTTTTATTTTGATTTGTCTCACGGAGTATTCATTTTCTTTTTAATAATGGTATTTTCTATTACTATTAAAAATATATTTATAACTTACAATATATTACACAAATATCAATTACTTTGTATCACATAATATGGTATTTTCTATTTATTCATACCGCACTCTAATATGGAGTAGGAAGTATTTAATTATTACTCTTCGTTGAACATTTATTTACAATAAATATCATTATTTTTATTATATTTTTTTTCGTTTACTTTAATTTTCAACTAAATTTTTAAAAATAATTTTAACTATCTTTTCAATTTTATTACTTTTTTCCATAAAATATTTATTTTTCTAAATTCCGGCCCACCAAAGAAAGACTAATTTTAGTGGATAGAGAGTATTTTTTAATTCAAAATTGTGTTTGAAACGTTTCAAACTTTACCAAGAATTTGATTTCATTAAGGCATTAATGACTCCTTAACCCTCCAACTACTTATCCGGTCCACTCTTTATTTATTTATTTTAGTCTAACGTAAAAATAAAAATAAACATCTTTTATATAAAACGCAAGTATTTTACATATACAAGCAACATATTTGATAGTAACTATAACCATTTAATTTATACAGGTCATAATGATAATGATAATATTGCAATTAATATTCCAAGTAATGTATGCACTTAGGGTGTTTTGATTGGGAGATTTTGTTCCGAATTTAATTATTCTTTTCAAAAATATTGAATTAAATATTTATTTTGTATTTTTATATTATATTTTTTAAAATTTATTTTTATATTCAAAATATTACTCCAAATATAATAGTGCTGTTTACTATTTTTGTCTATCCCAAAACAATAGTCTTATTTTCATAAATAACCATATCACTGTATAACTACCTTTATTTTTTCATTATTATTATACAATTGTCACTGCCTTTTTACACTAATACACTCGTAAGGCAAAAATATCTTTTATCTATACTTTTTTATCCACTATCAATATAATATTAATATTCCTTAAATCTGATGTCCAACACAACCAAGATTATAGTTCCGGGACGGAGGGAGTATAATTTTATTTATATTATATTATACTCTGTCTGTCCCATCACAGATGATCCATTTTTCTTTTTTATAAGTCCCACAGGATGACCCTTTTCATTTTTGATAACTTTATCAATCTTAAACCTACTTAACAAATATAAATCGTGCACCCAATCAAAACCCTTTTATTTCTATATTTCTCATCAATTAACATAATTTTTTTATCTATATTTAAAACTCCTTATAAAACTAATTTAGGGTAATGACAAATAAATAAAAATATTATTGCATATATTTTTTCAGGATATAATTTTAAAATTATTTAAAATACCAATAATATTATTCATATAAATAATAATAAATTAATATCATAACTTATAATCTACACTACCTAAAAAACCGTATCTCTAATAAAAAAATTCATCCCTCACATGACAGATTATAAGTCCAATCCCCACGCCACCACCGGCCATGAAATTTATCAATTTTAAACATATTCGTAACGGTAGTAGAACAACCTTATCAATCTACATTTATTCATTCAATCCACCCAACCCAACCCAACCCAACATATACACATTCACACACACATACATACCAATACCAGCACAGCAATCCCAACACCTACAACTATCACTTATTATCTATTTTCCACAACACCTAAAACCCGAACCCGAACCCGACCCCGACCCGACCTCGGCCACCCGGCATAAATTTTATACACATCAGGGCTAAACAACAATAACCACCAAATTACCAACATAGATATAGACATAGAACATAATTCATAAAATCAATTTGCTCGGTTAAGATTCGCATACCATGGACCGTGCACGATGACGGACACCTTGGCAGCCGTCACCACGACTGATGCGACCACCGCAACCTCGTCGAACAGCAGGGCTGCCCCGATTTTCTGTAATGCCGCTTCGGCCAATTCTCGACCCTGTCTTCCGGTTCCTCCGAGCACGATTCCTCGGGCAGCCAGATACACTGCCCAGGACACGCGGCTGAAGATGGGGTCGTCTGCTTGCAGGCTTTTGCCCAACATCCTGACCATGATTTCCTTAACCGGCCGGAGGTTGATGTTTTTGTCACCTGAAGTGTTATTTTCATCTATAGCCGTGACGAGAACTTCGACTATATCTTGGATTCCGGCGTCAGCAACAGTTTCTAGACATTTAGAGAGGTGTTTGATGCTGGCCGAAAGTATGTCGTCCATCTCTGCCTGGCTGCTTACCGTTCGCTGGCTTAAAAGAGTCTGTCGCAAGACTAACAGGCTGCGGTTTTAAAGATTCAATCACTGTTCTGTGGTTTTTACTAAAATCGATGCGACAGTCAAATCAAAGTGTACGGAGAATAAGAACTACCTGGTAGCCATGACAATGATCTTTTGAACTCGAGACTGTAAGCCTCGTAGCCGGGGCAGGTTGAGGCTCATGGTCTCTGGAAGGTTATCTTCCTTCAAACCGGATATTTTGTTTACGAGTTTTAACAAGCCTAACCTCACCAGCAAATCGATCTCCTCTCCCTTGCATTCCAGACGAGGATCGATTGTCTCTGGGACATTGGGATGAAGTGTTAGAAATCGGGAGGTATCATTTACCAAATTAATGAGCTGTGATAGAAACATACCGATAAAGGATGTGGCGTTAGAGGCTGCTGGCACGTCTGTTTGATTTCCACTTGTTTTGAACGATGAACTTCCCCCTGTTCGGAGTGCTGTTGAAGGAAGAAAACTAGATGAACTATCTAGCCTCCCTGACAACTCCGAGAGCAGATTTTTGTGCTCATTCCATTCCTCGTCTTTTGAGTCCCATACAGATGATAGCCATGTGGCAGTCAATGGTAAAGTGGAGGCAGCATTGGAAGGGTTACCATATCGACTGGTGAAAGCTTGACCAAGAAAATATAAAGCCTCGGGACCCTTCAAATATGGTTCCAAAAGCCGTATGCGTGCTTTGCTGATTTCCTGTTTGAGTTCCTGAAAGGCAAGGTCGTCTGTTAGTTTAAGTCTTTCACCATTCAAAATGAACTTGTTAAAGAAAGTAGTTGATCGTTTAACATGTTTTAAGTATTTAAGAACCTCAGGTAAATAAACCATGGCAATACCTGAATCTGTTCTAGGACATAGCGAATGCCTTTAGTCAATGCAACTACTTGTGAATTCTCAGAGCTATCACACATCTGGCCCAGATCTTTCATAAATTCCTGGTGCTTTTTCTTCAGTTCATCCTCGTATGCCGGAGCAGAGAGCTTTCTCAAAGTGATTAGTGCATACTCAAGGATATTGCCCAGATAATTCATGTCTAGTTTTCCTGAATTCAACACCTGTGGGTTCAAATCACCCAAACATTATCAGATATTCCTGATTGCCAGAACTCGAGATATAGCGGAAGAGAAGAAATAAACCTGAGTGAGAATTTCCGGGTCAATAGCTTCCATAACTTCTTGTCTCCAGCTATGTGGGACCATCGAACAAATCCCATCCCTCACCTCCCTCGTCAACTCCACAACACGGTTGTAGTTAGGTTCATCCTGCCTCACGGACTCAATAATGCTGTCCCAGAATGCCCTTTCCATTGTTTCTTTCACTTTCGTCTGGTCACAGTATGAAACATCCGAGTGTTATTCCCATTGCAAAATCACTATCTAATCGAACATAAGAGTATAAGAGAGTGCAAAGTCCCAAACCATCATGTTTTTGTTCTGGTGCTCGCCAGATGAACTGGAGCTATCAGCAAATGCAAGCTGCTCTCCATGAACATATTCATTGACAATCTTCACATTATCCATGTGAGTCAACTTGGGAGAGGTCACCTCTTTGGTACTAGCATCATCCTTAAATAAAGAGCGCACTACCGAGCTTCGTTTTTCTGAGCCCAGAGTCAAGCTATTTGTTTTATCAGAGGAACGAACAGAAGTAGAGGAAGCTGGAATTGAAGTATTACTGGAAGGAGTATTTGGGCTCCCATTTTCCTTTGCATTTAAATGCTTTGTTCTTGTGTCGTGGAGTGCATTTTCCATACGCTCAATACCAGCATCTCCACTAAGATGGAATACTTTCTCTCTCAAAAGTTTCTGATCTTCCGATACCTGCATTGATTATATCAATTCAATAATCAACTACAAGCAGAGAAATTTTTTCCACAACTGAAGCCTCAAACACATGGAAGCTCTAATAAGCAATTGATTAACATACAACTCAGCACAGCATATAAGATTCATTTGTTAAACGGGGTTAGAACTTCTAAAAATAACTCAAATATGTAGCCAGAGGAAGATTCTTCCTTTCTATTTACAAGGATGAAGCAGAGAGAATAACCTGTTTCTGTATGGCTTTCATGTCATGTGAAAGAGGACCACTATCTCCTTCAGTGGTTATCTTGCATGTTTGCATCATAGAAAGTTCAAGACGACAAGCAGCCTGCACCAAATCTTCCTCTAGTGACCTAGCATCCTTAGCCTTCCACACAACAAAGCTATTCAGAAAGGAGCACCAGGCAGAATCAAATGCTGCCAGCTGAAGCCTGAAGGTCCGTCGAGCCAGCGACACATGGTCAGATTCCTCATCAGAAATTTGCATGGGGCCATTTAGTAGTATCTTAATCAGTAACTCAAATTCCTTCACAAATTTTTCAGCAGATTTAACCAAAGCTGCCTCCCGCTCCCCGTGACCACTAATAACAGCCTCTGGATGGCCCAGTATCATATAAGCACAGAGGACAACTCTGACTTGGTACCTCGACACGTGAGCTGGTGTGCTAGCTGCTTGTTTGATGGATGGAGAAGTCTTTCCCTCTCTACGGTATACAGATCTCCTGGATACTTGCTTCCTTTTGGGAGACACCACTCTCTTGAGGAGGTGATCAATATCATCCCCAGCACAAGGATTAGTATCACATCGCGACACTTTATACCAAACTTCAAGGCGATCAAGTAATGCTTTAGTTGTTTGTAGAATAGTTGATGACTGAATAAGGAGTGCAAACTGCTCAAATGGCATTGCTTTCACGGATCTTTCATTAATATTCAAGACATTATGAGCTAATACAAGATTCGCGGTGGTCTTTCTCAATTTTTTGAATTTACTCCAGCACCTGAAATATTGTATTAAGCAAGAAATACAAACTTCAGATTTCTGGATAATGAGAATAAACTGAAGCAGCTATTAAAAGAAGTACCAGTTTAACTAGGTATGATGAGACACTGATATGAAATTGGGGAATACCAAAAACTTAAGCAATATGTAAATACATATTCAAGCACCTTGCTAATTTTCTAGCAAGTATGTCACCCTGCTCATGCATGGTCTCCCAGCTATTCAGAGCAATATTATATGGCCTTCCTCTCTGCATTAAGTATTCTGCCCGCTTTCTTCTCGCCTAGAAAAGAAAAATCTCACAAGTTTTTCAACCAATTCATATTTTTCTTGTTAAATGCTCATTAACTTATTATTAAATGTACCCTTTGCAGTTTATCTTCAAGCTTGTTCTTCATTTCACTTCTCTCGAGCTCTCGCTTGTGAGAAACTGAATTGGCTACCTTTTGCACCTGCAACGCCCTGGCATGTGCCCTTCTTTTCTCTGCTTCGAGCAATCCCAGTCGCTTTTTCTCAGCATTTGCACGCTTTTGGGACATAGCAGCTCGTACTCGTTCTTTATACTTGGTTTCTCGAACCATTCGCCGCATTAGTGATTGAGATGTCCTCTCGCTCAAAGTGGCTCTCCTTTGCCAATTTGCTCTTAGGATGAGCAATCTATTGGCCTCTGCTTGTCGAACACGCATTTCAACCTTTGTACCTAGCTCAGCTCGCTTCTTCTTGAACCGCATTTCCACCTGAGTCTTAGCAGCTTGCCTCAACTCATCAAGCTTGGCCAGACGCATCTGAGAATTGGCAAGGATGCTCAACCTGTGTGTTGAAGGGTAAGAATCAACATATGCCCTAACATAATTGTGGGTAGCTGTTTGGCCATTCACTGTATGCCATGTCATTGAGCAGAATGATTATCACTATTGAAAATTGTGAAATTTCGAAGCTTTATCACTTATCAAAAATATATTAGCAATATTCGTCAAATAAAATGCAATTAGGGTGTGTTTGTTTTGGGGATTTTCCCCAAAATTTACTATTTCTCAAAAAAAAAATTCCCAAAAACATCAAATCTAATAACTATTTTTTATTTTTTATATTATACTAAAAATCAATTTTACATTTAAACATCACATCAACACTTATTTACATCACATCATCATACGATTATTCCAATTCAAAATTTTACTATTGAGATCCCAACTCAAAATCCAAACCTCCAAACAAACACACCCTAAATATTATTATGGGATTCTGAAAATGAGTCACCTCTTCTCTTCGGCAGCTAGAAGCTTTGCCTCAAGACGCTGTCCAGGATCATCTTCATTAGATGAAGTTTGGGAAGGGCTTCTGGACTTTGGCTTAGCCTTGCTTGTTAGATTTTCATGAAACTTCTGCAATTTCATTGATTTACAAGCTTATTAGATGGAAGCATCATAGAAAATCAAAATCTGTCGTTACACCACAACACAGGCCAAGGAAAGACGACAATAAATTAAGGTCATTGACACCTGCTCTCGTTAACAATCTAATATCATTGAGGCTGATATTGATTACATATGTGTTTCAACATTTATAGAGAAATAGTCGATTAAATTTTAGAGTACAGGAAGTTGTCATTATCAGTATTATATTTTGCAAGCGATGAGAACATGTATGAAGTTCTAAAAAGAAAGAATAGACACTTGTCAATATCTTAAGTCCCACTGTATCATATATCACGCCACCCGCAGGCGTGAAGAATTCATGCGTTTCTCGTTAAGACGCCAAAAGTATGGAGATGCAGAATAAAAACTCCAAAAAGGCGAAGAAATAAAGAAACTATAATAGGAACGACGATGAAGCGACAGGTGTTAGACAAAATAATTGTTTGCTAGCTTGACATGGAGGGGAACTGCAAATGAAAATAATTGATGTCAGACGAGTTAGCATGATCCGCCTTCGGAGTGGGCGACGTGTTTTATTTTTCTCTTTCCAAGAAAGGGAGAAGTTGAGGGAAGGGTGTGTTCTAACATATTGATCAACTAACTTTTACCTAACACAAGGACAAGAAACGACAAGAATTTCGAAGAATCGGAGTTAAAACTCAAACAGAAGTAGAAGAAATTAAGAAGACTACCTGAACTGCATCAAAACAAAAAGTTTTCTTGAAACCTGATTGTTCTTGAGCTATCATAAATCTATAATTAATAATACACCCTAAATCAAAAACCAATCCCAGAAGACCCAAAAAAACCCTTCAAAACCCTTACAAAATAATCAAATATTTTCTTAAAGACCTTAGACAAAAAGTAGCAAGCACTCGTACGCCATTGAAGAGGCGTAAATAAATAAAAGAAAAGCTCACGGAAAGGCGTAAAAGATACCTGACGTCGAAGATCAGCGTCACGAAGTTTGGCCTCGATTTCTTCAACAGTAGAAGGAGGCGGCGTCTTCGGCTCCGAAAGCCTCTTCCGAAGCCACGTCGGCACGGTCGGCGGCGAGCACGATAAAACCTCGTCGCTCGCCGGAAATTCCAAGGCTACTCCGGCCACCGGTCTCCCCCTCTCCGGCGATTCCATCACAGCAACAAACCAGCAACAAACCAAAAATCCACAAACCTCAAACCCCTCAGATGATCAAAAACCACTATCCACAAACAAAAAATCACTGACAGTACCAAATCCCCAACTAAAAAATTACTTACACAGCAATCAATTAAAAATCCCACCAACACACAATTCCCCGCGCGTGCGCACAAATTAAATGTATATACGCGAATCTAATCCAGATTAAGCTGAGCTACGCAGAGAATTGAAGGAGAAAAGGCGACGTCGGATTGCAGAGAGGGCAGAGAAAGGAGTCGGGAGGACAAAAGGTAACGCCGAATGAAATAAAATGAGGTGTCTGTTGATCGGCGGTGAAGGAAGGAGCTTTAAGGCTCTGTTTTTTATTAATATATTTTTTTTTGTACTAAAGTCGTGTTTTGACACGTTTAAGCGGGTTCTGGAAAAAGCGTGTTTAGGTTGCGTGCAGGTAAATGTGAAAGCGCAGTTGCTAATTTCCTTATCGTTGGGGATTATTGCCACGTCATCGCTTGGGTTCCAACGGCTCACTGATTCCTTGGGCATTTATTTATTTTGTCACGTTTAGATTAGACCGTACTGTCAGCGCTGTATTGATGTGAATTGACGACTTTACCCATCCATATATTTTCAATTTTGCAATTTGCATTACACACTAAGCATCACCATTAGAAAATAATAAATCTATATATCTATTTTTGTAGTATAATTTTTTTTAAATATATATATTTTCATTAAAATATTACATTAAAAATTTATGGAACTTTACGATATAATAGCTGCGTTCATCCAATTTTTTTAAATGAAATGATTACTTAATAAAGTATGTAGAGTTTTTTCCTTTTTTTTTTTTTTTTTTTTACATTTGTATAAAATATTTTTTATTTATTAGTATTATTTTTGAAGAATTGTAATTTAAAAATAATACAAAATAATAGATCGAATTAAAATTGTATATATGAACCTCTTTTTTTTTCATCAGATATATAAACTTTTTTTTTTCATCAAGGAAAATATTATAACATACATTTATGTTAATGTGTAATAAACTTTTAATAATATCATTTTTTTTTTTCATAAAATTTCAAAATTTCTGCCTAAATTAAACCTAAATTATTGTAGTGAATTTGAGAACAACTATCAAACAAGTTTCTTTTGTGGGTGTGTGTATAAAAAAATAAAAAATTATTATTATTATTTTGAAAGCCTTGAAAACTAAGTGCCATGATTATATTAATGTTATAATTTAATTATATAAATTAAAATAATTAAAGTGTAGGAATAGCATAAGTTGAGAAAATTGATTCTGCACATGATCCAAGTAATATATATATATATATTAATTTGATCAATATTTTGTATAAAAAATATTTGTTTAATATGACAATTAAAAAAACAAATAAATAAAAACCGAAATAGAAAATCAAAATACAATGGAATTATATTCTAAATACTCTCCCACCGTCTTTTAATTTAATACTTCATTCGTTAATTTGTTCACTTTAAATGACATATGGAGGTTTAGATATTACGTAACATTGATAAGTAATTAAAAAGTTTATTAGTAAAAATAAGTACGATATAATAAAAATACTATATATTAAGATTAAGATTAAGATTAAGATTAAGATGACTAAATAGTTCAATTAAAAATTATATATATAATTTTTACATTTTCGTCCGTCCCAAAATAAGGTTACCATTTCCTAATTTAGTAATTGTACTACCTACTTAACATAATAAATACCCTTTCAATTTACAATATATTACAAAAATGTCATTACTTTTATATTACATTGTATTAATATGAGTATTTTTGTCTTTTTTACTACAATCTAATATAATATTAATATTCAAAAATTTCGGTGCAAAAAGCAAACGCCACCCTTCCAACGGAATAGAAAAGTAACAAAATTTAATTATTATTATTATTATTATTATTATTGTACTTCTAAAATGTTCTTTTTTTTTTCAATTTTTACCAATTTTTTATTATTCATATATTTTTTTTAGAAAAAATCAAACATCTATTTTTATATTTTTTATTATACTAAAAAATAATTTTATATTCAAAATATTATATCAATACATATTTATAATACATCATAAGATTATTTTAATTCAAAATTTTGATTACTATATTCGTTTCATAAGAAATATATCATTTTATTTTCACATTACTATAGTTAACACTAAAGAAATTCTTATATTTATATAATATATTATACAAATATTATTGTATTTATATTATAAAAAATAAAAAAAAAATGTATTATTGTTATTATTATTATTATTATTATTATTGTCTTAATTTGTACCATATACAATATCTAACTGTACATGCTAAAAATCAATAATATTTTTCTTTTGAGATAGATGAAGTATTCAAATTCCAATCAAATATTTAAACCTTAAAACAAACAGATTGTTTGGATTTTAATAATAAAAAAATTGAATTTAAATATTTCTATAATGGGATATAAATAGATATTGATTTGATATTTTAAATATAAAATTAATTTTGAATATAATATAAAAAAATAAAAATTTAATTTAATATTTTTAAAAATAAAAATGGATGAATAGCAATTTTTTAAAAGAATCCCCAAACAAACAAAGACACCCTTGCAATAGACTTATCAATGAACACACAGTTGAAATGACAATGTATTGTCAGGATTTCCGAGCATTCGAGAGAGAGACTGTATAAAGATGGTCTAAATACGTGGTTGAAAATAAACACATTTTATTTATAAAATGTCGAAATGCTTTAAACCGAGCTGGACTGTTTAATAAAAATAATTGTGGTATAATAAAAATTATTATGAAATAAGGTTAAAATAACAAAATAATTTAATTAAAATTTAAAAAATAAATTATAAAATTTAAAATATAATTAAAATATATAATTATAATTATATAAAAAAAAACAAATGGTATAAAATAGACAAAAATAAAAAAATACGAATATTTGATGTGGAACATAAAGTAGTACTTCCTCCATTCTAAATAAGGTGAAATATTTGTTTTGAGCACGGATTTTTAGGTGAGTAGTATTAAATATGATAATTTAGAAATTAGGTGATGTGACAGAAAGATAAATATATATATTTTTTTTATTTGGGATAATGTGATGGGATAAAATATGAGATAGAAATTAAATTTAATTAATTATTTTTTATTTTAAAAATATTGCGGGATGTTTGAGATATAAAAAAAAATAAAAAATATTGGATCGATGTTTGGGAGGGAAAGAAGTATATATATAGCTTGTCAATGCAATGCAATAAAGCCGGCGGGCAGAATGGTAAATGCAGAGAACTTGCAGTCCTACTCTACTCTACACCTTGAGGAAGCGAGGGAGGCGTGGGATGTGACTGGTGGGGGCGCCACGTCATAGGGGAGCGAACCTACCCCCAGATTGGGCCACTCGCGTGAACAGGAAACGCACTTGTACTCGCGGCGCGCGTGTGGGCCACGACCGGATTAGGTGACCACAGCCGCCGGGGCGGAGGGGAGGCGTGATGGCACGATGAGCTTCCATAATTTGACCACGTGTCAACAGTAGTCGAGGAATTAATTAATTAATTAATTTAAAAACTCTTTCCGCGGGGCCCACAATTGAAATAAAAGTCGTTGGTTGGAAACGCTGTAGCCTCTCAAAATGTGTGGACAATTATTCACCCTTTGGTTATCACTACTACTTCAGGTTTTTATTTTTATTTTTTTAATAATAATTTGTAATTTCACCGTTTCTATTTATTAGTGTGTTCTGAGTAAATTTTAAATTAAATTTAATAATTTGTAAATTAAGTACGATAAATTATACAAATTTTATGTAACATGTGAAGTTAGACGTTACAGTTTGAATCCATAAACAATTAATTACAAATTTATTTCCTTTGCCACCAAATCATCCCATAAGTGAACACTAGTAATTTAGTTTTCTTCCTTCCGCACCTACTTCAATATTTTGGTATAAGAATTTCAATAAAATATTACTCATCTTAAGTAAAATAAATTAAAAATTAAGTAATATGATTAGAAAACATTTTATATTTACTTTTTTATTTAAATGATATAATAAAATAAAATATGATTAATTATTTATATTTCTTAAATATTGTAAAATACGTAAAAATAAATAAAATAAAAAATAGGGAAAAATGAAAAAAAATTACACTCTGTATTTTATCATTTAAGGATAATAAATCCATCCGATGCCTTTTCAGCGCCGGAAAAAGGTATGTGCGTCTCACGTGAGCCGATGTGGCATGTGAAATGACCTCGCCTCCGGCTACTGACTCAAATTACAATTTAGAACAATATGTCAATTTATGGTCTTATTTTTATCTTTCAGTACTTAAAAAACACACGTGACACACAGGTACGCCTACACAGCCTCCCTCGTGGTAACCGCGGAACTATATTGTCGCACGACATGAACCGTCGGCGGCGTAATGCAAATTTTTCTTTATAAAATTAATTTGTTATTTGCAATTAACAATATATCTAAAAACAGATAATTTAAAATAATTATCATACTTTTGTTCATAAAAATATATGTAGAATTAAAATGTTGCAAAATTTTCGGTACTTATATTACTTTCTCTGTCTACTTAGAAAGTATACGTATTTATATTTTGAGATGTTCAAATACAAAGTAACCATTTCATTAAATAGCATATATTTTTTCACAAATATCCCTACTTTATTGTCATTACACTACTTTTAACTACCAATTATAATTAAAATACTATTATGTCTTAAACTCCGCACAAAAAAAAACGTATACTTCTTAAGTGGACGGAGGGACTCTAATTTTTGAATAGTCATAAATAGTAAAAAGAAAATTATTTAACTACAATATATGTAAAAATATTGAGATAATTTTATTACTTTTGTTGCTACTCTAGAAAATTGTAAATAATATTTCATTATAAAAATAAAAAATAAAAAATTGTAAATGTTTTACCAAAGAATTATTTGTAATAATTTAAAATAATCTGAAAATTTATGTTATTTGTGCTACATTATAAATCAACCATGAAAATTTTTTATGTCAATATTTTTGAGGAAATAGCTAAAAACACATATGGCACATCTGCCATATGTACTCCGGCAAGTTTCACGCGAGCGCCAATAAAGCCACGTCGGCTCACATGAGACGTATGTATTTTTTTCCGACACCAGAGAATACTTTTAAAATCTCGGAGAAATTTATTGTCCTTTATTAAAATATATATATATATTTTTTAAAAAGAATCAAAATTATAACTTTAAATTAGTTTCAATACTAATTTAAACAAATTTTTCTTAATCATCATCTTTGTTTGAACATAGATACAATAC